GCTGGTTTAAATCTGCGGCGCACTGAACAAAGATATGAAGAAGTGTGCGAGGAAAGACAACTGTACGATGCACCGGTAGCTAAAGCAAATAGACCTCAGAACAGCATATCAGATAACTGAGTCGCTTCTCGGCCGGAGACCATCACATGAAACTAGAGAAAAATAATGCAGGGAAAGGAGCAGTAAAGAAAGAAATGGTTTTACGAAGTCAAAGGAGCCCTGAACCAGCGTAACCCGCAATTCCTCCAGAAACATCACCAACAGTCACAGAAATGTCAGTGAACGCCAATTCTCCAACACAAGCAGAAGTATTGAATACCATAGATTTACTGAAAGTCAGGCATGAAGGCAACACGACCATAGAGAATTACCTCGAAAGCGCTGAAAGCGGATCCAAAGAACTTAGCGGGTACCCCTATGTCACTATCGCAGAAAGTTTGAACGCATGTGGAGGTAACTACTGAGAGAAAGAAGGCCTACCCTGTCAAACCACCAAATATGAGTGACATAAGTCACGGCACAAGCTATCGAGACATCACGTCTCATTCTACACAAAGCAAAATATTGAATAACTTGACCTTGAGAGACTAAAAAGTACTCTGAATGCAAAAGTGCAACCAAAAAATGCTGAATTGAGGAAAGGGAAACCATATGTGGACCAAGATGCAAGGCTAATCATCATCATCAAATGGAGCATGGAGTGGTAGTAGACTCTCTATCTCAACGTTATAGACTTCGAAAAGTCTTCGACAGAGTTGACAGCAAGGTAATTTGGGAACTGCTTCAACATTGTAGAGTACCCCCAAATCTTTGTCAACCACATTCAACAGCTGTATGATGATGCCACGCGTCAAATTATCCACGACTGAAAGCAAAATGAAGCCTCTGAATTGGAGACAAGTTTAAGACAAAAGTTCCTACTATCACCCACAATATTCCTTATTGTGGTGGACTGATTCATGCAGCAGACCGTGGCGAGCAAGGACACAGGCATATAACGGACCGGCGACTAGACAGTGGAAAACCTGAATCTCTTTCCACTGTCACAAGAACTCCAATATCTGCAGGCGAGAAGCAACAAGTTATCAGAATATACAGTTAGAAAATCTCCCACACTCCACATAAAGGAGAAGATTCAGATTTTGAACACTAATATCAAGTCAGTCAGTGCCTCGATATGCTTTGGAGACTTGACAGTCATATCGCCAAAAGTATTTCCAACAGGCCGCTGTAATCTTTTATGGCGACCTTAAACTTTAAGCACCAGTAAGTAGCAACGGACAAATGACTTTGAACACACCAACCACCTAATGAACGCGATTTTTGCTTGTTAAATAAATATATTTATGAAAATAGTTAATTAAAGGGCGTGAAATTGTTACTCAGGGTGCCTTCCTCTGATGTGCGACAAAAATACCTTTCAGTTTTGTATGCATTTAAATATCTACGGTTTCCAACCCTAACAATAACTATAATATTTCCTTCACCTACCTCCGAAGTGAAAATATCCCTAGGCTAACCCTAATTTAACTCGAATCAATCCCAGTGTCTCCCTCATTAGGTTATTCTAACCCTAACCTATCTTTAGCCTAAGCCTCATCTTAATCTTTCTAAAACCTAACCTGAAACTTTCCAGATGTCCCACTGAATAACATAATACTTCAATACAGTATTATTTACCAGGTTTCACTAACTCTCTCATTGTCCATTTCAAGGTCATTGATGCGGTACTGGTACTTACTGATGCTTAACGTTTAACTTGGCCACTTTTATCAGTGTCTGACCTCGACTGTTACTGAAAGTAAGATAGCCATCCAGAAAGGATAAGCCATAAGGAGTTCTGAAAAGGAACTAACAAAGAACTCATTCCTCAACAAGTATGGAGAAGACAACGGAGATGGATCGGAAACACCCTTAGAAAACTACTGAATGACATAATACGTTAGTCAGACATTCCAACTGTACCCGAATGGGAAACGACGAGTTACACGTGAGTCCGAGAGTGCTATTAGGTAAACAATTTTCGGAGATGATGGAAGCTTTCAGGCAGTCATGGAGCCAGTTAAAGGGGAATGCAGAGAACAAGATGAACTGGAGATGTGTTATGCACTCAGATTCCAGTGGAATAATAATAATATAATAATTCTTGGAAGGTGATTAGATCTTCTTTTCGATGAAGAAGCGAGGGAAGAAGAGTAACGGCGTATTACGCATCAAACTGAAGAGAAATGCAAGTAAAATATGTAATCTCCCAATTTCACAGATGCCGTTTTACAGGTATATAATCTGCTTTTTTGTTCAAACTACACTGACAGTAAGCAGAGTCATATAAAGAGTCATATAAACTTCAATTTCACCTAAAGACGCAATTCCCTGAACTGACATAACGTATGAGTTGTGTTTCACATCCAGGACTCTGTCATGGATCAAAAAGACTGTCAAAGAATAAATTCAGGAATCTAACACCATGAACACACTAAAACATACTACTAAGGCGTTAAACACAAATAACTACAGTGTGTCGTCTCAGTAACTGAATGGTAAACACGGATCACCTTATAATCTGGTGGTCCTCCTTCGGATTCCCCATGAGCTTATTACAGAAACGATCCAAATTAGCCTGAAACAGCTGGCGAGTACTTCCTGGTTCTATGTCAGTTGTTCTGTAACAGAATATGCTGCAACGACGCAGAAGGTCAGGCTGCGAATCGTGGGCTACTCATTCATAAACCCTACCTAGTTTACTAGACACTAATAAGCCCAGAATATAGGGTAGGTCAGGCATGAAGCTAGTGATCACACTGCCTAGAGAAAACCCATATCACCCCTACTGAAATTTCTCAAAACCTCAAAGTCTTTTGTTTCGTTAAGAGTACAAAGTAATAAAAAGCAACAAATAAAGTATAATTATGTTTCAATAGTTTATATCCAATGATAAGTTTTATTATTGGTAATATTTCTAGCAAAATTACCAATAACAAAACTTATCAATGTGTGTAAACTATTGAAATATAATTATACTTTATTTGATCTATTTCACAATGAGCAAACGTTTTGCTGATATTAATAAAAAGCATAGTTAGAATAAGTTATTCTTTACACTGTCATGCATATTTAAATATTATTCAGTCCACTAGGCACTTACGTTATCGTCCATATATCTTATTAAAACAATTGTGTAACATGAACAAAGCAAGAACAACAATTGTACCAGGATAATATGAGCTCATCTTTTATTATTTCGAGGATTCTTCTCAACTGGTTACAACCTGAACGATTAAAAATATGAATTACATTAAAGATTTCAACATACTTTTCCATGATCACAAGAAGTAATTGGTAGGAATTAAAAGTAGCATTAGTCCGGAATTACTTAATTGGTTAGCAGTTACAAACACTGATTATTTATAGAACAATTAGACAATTAGGCTTGGAAACAAAAAACAGGGTTGCGTATATTTGTTTGTGTATAGAAACAAGGTTTAGCTAGAAAGAGCATAACAAAAAAAAGTAGATTACGTAACTAAAGAAAACGTCTTATCTAATAGCCAATACAAAAAAAGAAAAAAAAGAAACAAGGTAGGGTGACTCATGTTTAGATTACAGAGTAGAGTTTCCCAAACAAGGAAAAGGGTGACTTATAAAAGTTGTATATTTTGTTATCACCAGGGCAGTGCAAGATTCACCACTGCCTCTTTCTGTGTACATAGATTTGGTTTAAGTCATTTGATAGCAATTGATTCAACAAAGCGTAGCAAGCTAGGTTTCTTTTGCTTGTTGATTATTTTGAACAACTTCAGGTTGCCTACAATATGACCAGTGTCCAATAGATGACGAGCAATAGCACTGTTTAATGGTTGCGGAACTTTCAGTCTCAAGTTCTTTGGTATGAGTTCATAAATGCGGACATTAACCGTTCTCTCTGTTCTCTGGCACGTACATGTAAAATTGTAGACACAGTTAGAGGTAACATTAGGTGGGTATTTGTCCACTTTTGATTGTTTCAAACAACTAGTTGCTTGATAAACACATACAAGCCTGGCGGCTGGATATGTTCTCTTCAGGGCAGCGTTCAGTCCGTATCTTATTCTACTAACAGTATCATCACATTTGAATGCAAGCTGCAGAAAGATAAGCTTTTTATCTACTGTGCTACTTTTCACTTTTTCAACATGACGTCTCCCATACTTGTCAATGAACTTTTGTGGGTAACCGTTGTCGCGTAGGCATTTCTCCACAATGCATAGCTCTTCTTCACTCTTTTCTTTTGAACACAGTTTCCTCACACAATCGAATAATGTTCTCACCAATCCCTTTTTGTAACTTATAGGGCAGAAGCTTTTGAAGTTAAGATAATGGGAAGGATTGCATGAAATTTTGTAACAGCCGAATTGCTTATTAGCCAGTTTGTATACAGATATGGCAGAATGCACACACCATTTGCGCAATTCCTCCTTAGTCTACTTCTTTTTTTTCCTTTATGTCTTGCGTATTTCTCTAAAAAATATCCTTCGTATCTCCTCTTCTTCATGTAATCTATTCTTCCACTCTTCACTATTCGTGCAGAAGACATCACACGCGCGGAATTTACTACTTACAAAATCTTGTCAGTAGCACTCACCACACTTGTGCAACATAACTATCTGGAAAGCTGAAATTTCCCTATTACCTTCTTGGTGTCTGTACCTATTTAAGATTGACATATAGTCTCTTGTCAGATAGTAGTCAATTCAAACACACATACAAGCACATACCAGAACAATTTGAATCACACATTCAATCAGTAATTAGAAATCACCACAATCGACTGATGTCAAACAAAGTAGTCAATGTCAATTTACGAAATGTGATCTGATCACTCCAATTATATCGACACTTCTGACAATGAATAATCATAAAAGTGATTAGTTGACTGGTTGATTAACTGATCAGAGTATTGATTACTTAGAATTTGAGGTATAAATAATTTATACTTCAATCTTCATAGTTTTATTGTTATTATTTATTCAGTGGGTAAGTAAATACTGATTGTGTCTGTCTGAGGCCTTTTTTCATGAGAAACTGATTTTTTGCTCATATTTCTTCTTTATAATCAATTTATGCATATTGTATTGTTTTTCTGGTTCTCTTGACATCCAAGTGGAACAAAAATGGGTTGGGCAGCACATCTTCATCTCCTGTCCAGCTGGCTCCACGTTTTTGTATATGCTTCCATCTTCATGACACATGATCTACTTCATTTCACTCTTGTCCAGCGACCAACTCATTGTTTCTCATTCAGATCTCAGTCAAGGACCTGATGCGTGACATCCCTTCAGCGCATGTCTAATTCGTGTCGTTTCTTCTAATTATTTGTTTTTCAATGGGTTCTTGGTTAGTTTGTTACTCGCCACAATTCCATGTTGCTTATCCTTTCTGAACAATGTGGAGTGAAGACAGTGGTTAATCAGATTCCTTAGCCCACTGAAAATGCTTTCGATAGAGCGTGTGTCAAGTCTGTGAATGAGTAGTCCCTGATTGTAAATCCGAATCTATTTGCCTATGCTAAGTGTAGTAAATTTCATTACTGATTTCAGAGTGATGAGGGTCTTTACTGCCTTTCTTATAGTGGCTGGCTTTGATATCTTCATCTATGCCACCTGTGATCAGGATAGTGTTGCCCAGACAAGTGAAAGAGGTTAACCTCTCTTAAGTTTCTCCCTCTGATAATAATTAGTGTTTATTGTTGTCAATTAGATATCATTGTCATCTCTGTCGTCCCTACATTTATCTGAAGTCCTGCCTTCGGCGCATTTTCTGCCAACTTACTGGTTACTTCCTGTAGATATATATTGAAGGACTTTTCAACATCACTTCATAATCGGTACTGTTAAAGGTGTCTTCAAAGTAAAAACAGGTTGAGATGGAGAGTTGATCACTATTTTCTTCGCCATTCGCATTTTGGCCCGTATATTATTTGTTTTTCTAGAATCAAATTTGTTATGGGTGTATTCTTGCAAGGAGATCATTGTTTAGTCTCTCCACGATGACCTTAGGTCGCTAGTCCTACACCCAACCTTACCCCTTTTTTCCCGCCTCATGTCTAGCTAGTAAACTAAATAAGATTCAACAACAGAAATCCCTATTGCTTTTGTAAAGATTTTAAATTCAGTTTGAATGCACACAGGGCAAGGGGGTGAAGAGCAGTCTCTCATCATTCATATTGTATTTAAAAATCAATGAATGGATGAGCATCACTCATCTTCCCTTAGTCAATACACCGCTTTATTAGTCAGGTATTTCAGGAGGTAATCTCAATAATGAAGTAATATGCTTTCAGTATACAAATATCAGCTAAGAGCCACTTGAAACCATTCTACTGTTGCTTATCCGGTTTCATTCAAAATTTGACAAAGCTCTTCAAAATGTAAGCCTTCTGAAGTAACTCTAAGTCTATCAAGCTCTGCTGATGAGTAGCACATGATGAAATGAACTAAGGATCGTAGGCTAGACACAGGCGAGGTACAGGTTTACACTGCTGAGGAGTCTCGAACTAGGACGAAACGGTTGTCAAGTATTCCTTAGTTTTCAGTAGTTCTCTTCAACAAATGTCAGTTCCTAATGAAATTAACATTGATAGACGAATTATTCCGCCGTCTGATTTCAATATCGAATAAATAGTTTGAATTTTATGACAAAATTACAACAGCTTTCCTAGAATCCTCCAAACACACTAATATGATTGATGGTGACTGGTAGTTTAACTCGGGATATGCATTTCTTCCTGTTAAGTAAGAGTCAGCTTGACATATCTGAGTTATCAATGAGACTTAAACGAAGAAGAATAGCTCAACCTGGATTCCAATGCTAGTCGCTGTGAACCTAAGTAAAAGTCGTGTTAATCTTCAGGCGTTGTGAAAGAGTTCTTATTAGGGACCGATGTGTCGACAAAAACACCGGATTAATGAGAATTCAAATTTAAACAATACCGAAACAACAGTTTATAATATCGCTTATATCTGGACTGCTCAAAAGGACTGAAGTCGTCTCTAAGCAGCTTAAATTGATCAGAAAGTAAGCGGTATGTGGTAGGCAAACATTCAATTACCCTACTGCTGATTTATCCATACTACTTACTTAATTCTGAAACAGGCGCAAGTAATATTTTAGAATCACGTATTACTGTTTCTGTCCTTCTAGTTTCAAACAGATACACCTTATCTGATATATTTTGTTATTTTTTGTTTTTAATAGGAATGACGCCTCGTTTCTTCAGTCTTCTATTGCTTGTATCGATATCCGTATGTTTGATGAATTCCCTGGTGGCTAAAGTCACTGAATTTAATGTTCCAATTGGTTTTAGTAACAAAAGTGGGTTTAATTCATAGTTTAAATTAATAATAACAACAATAATGTTTAATAATGCATTAATGATGACTTAATGAAATCAGTCATAGAATGGCTGAGAAGAAGCGACTACTGGACAGCTATTTCGTCGTCGTTTGAAGCCCTTCAATATTGTGCACCCATAAGCCTAGCAGGCGTCGAATCCAGTACCTTCTGTTTATGAGGCCAGCTTGTTGACCTATCAGTAACTGGGATAAAAAACCCCATGGCCAGTGACTTCCAGCTATGGTCAATGAGCATACAATAATGAATGATAAATCAATGTTTATCCTGTTACACTGAAACTCAAAACTTTCGTAATCACTTGTTCAATTCTTATCAGATGAAATGATACATTTCATCGGGTAGAACTTATGACTGAGTGTGAATTAGTCGAAGAAGATGAGATAAATACGGGTTTCAATACGTTTAATTCATCTCAGAGTCAAACTGAATTTATAATGGTTCAGTCTAATTCACGTGGACAGGTAATGTTACGTGTAAGCTATGTGGTCTAATATCTAATAATATAATATAATAATAATATAATAACGGTCTAATATATACATATATATATATCTTCGTTTTCCATTCATTTCAACTGGCAACACCTCAAAAACATTTGAATAATTGAATCAGGAATTTCAGGATTTCATCATGAGCTGACATTAGTTAGAGAACCATTGGAAAACCTGGGAGTACTGGACAGCTGTTTCGTCGAGTAATCCCAGGTTTTCCAATGGTTCTCTAACTAATGTCAGCTCATGATGAAATCCTGAAACCAACCAAATCCCTACAAACCAACACTTGAATAAGGAATTGTCAAATTTTTTTCATGAAATGAACCTCAAAAAGGTATAAAAAGAAATTAAAGTTTGTATTTTACGAGTTGATCACGGATTGATATCAGTTAGAGAACCATTGAAAACCAGGGAGTACTGGACAGCTGCTGTTTCATCCTAGTTTGGGAATCATCGGCAGTACGCACCCACTGGGATTCGAACACAGGACCTTCCGGTTACAAGGCAAGCTCGTATACCAGTGAGGTCCAATTAGATGTCACGTGTGTAGATGGATTTCCCACCAACGACAATGGTTGGGGTCGCGCTAAATCACGAATTAGTAGAAGTTAGAATTCACGAGCCATTGAATCGGGTCCCAGTGGCTGCATGGTATACGAGCTTGCCTTGTAGCCGGAAGGTCCTGGGTTCGAATCCCAGTGGGTGCGTACTGTCGATGATTCCCAAACTAGGATGAAACAGCAGCTGTCAAGTACTCCCTGGTTTCTCAATGGTTCTCTAACTGATATCAATCCGTGATCAACTCATAAAACATAACTAATCCTTACAAACCAAAACTATATAAAGTTTGTATATGAAAATCAATTAGTTGGGCGAGTACTGCCGATAAAACAATCAGGGATAAGTAACTCAGTTAGATCATTGGTTATTAAAGTTACTATTATTATATTATATTATTGTTATTAATTCTATGAGTTTTGTACTTTCTCCAATTCTCTTCAGTCCTTTTTGGTCAACGCCATAATTGCCTCTTATCTCATTTGAATTTCACTCACTTACGTCTGAGAAGGGTTAGTGAAATTACAGTTTCAAGAAATCAAGGATTTCGTCTTTGTAGACCACTAGAATGCCCCACTCTTTGTTTTTAATTCAGGTTATACTTAAAGGCCTCGCACAATATGTTATTTAACGACCTCCCTAGCTTGTGTCAAATGTTTCTCCATTTTCTACGGAATATTTGTTGAACAATAAGTTCTTGATTGGATTGTTGCCTGTCTCAAGTCGCTAATTCATTTTGGCCATTTGATGTTCAGTCATATCCATCTAAGCCATTTCAACATGAGAAAAATGATGTCACCTGTCACTGTTTTTACTGATTTGAATGAAAGTATGGACATACATATATAGGGAGGACTCATCGATCTGTCCAAGTATATGCTGGCCTCAGGACATATTCCTAAATGGATGAATGAGCGAATAGAATCGCCCCAATTCATTATCGGTGAGAACAGGAGACGATCTAGCTTCTCTATCACAAAACATATTAAAGAGGCAGGACATAAAATTGATGTTTTCACGTCTTTTAAATCCATCTACAAAACGTGTTTGGGCGAAGGGGTATACTAAAGTTTGAGGAAGCCCCAGCATTTAGAATCTGCAGACCACTTTTATGCATTCAAAGCAACAGCTCATTATCATCACACTTAACCTTCCTTGGTAAACTTTGTTTTGATACTAGCCAGGGTAGATGTACTATTACCTCTCTTATTTGGTTTAGTGATCTTCATTGTTATTTTGACCTTCAGTATGGCCGCCTTTCAATTTACCTAAATTTATATTCTCACCTCTTAACTCTTTATTAATTAAAAATATATATGTACCTAGGATAAATCCGCGTGTAATCAGATTGTTCGAAATATGTTGCGCAAATACACATTACACACAATTAAGACAAACTAAGCCTTCTTATTACTTCGTCTGGTTTTATACATCTTTAGACTTCATAAATCAGTAACTAAAATGGTGAAGTCTCTACTCACCACAAGGTTATGCCCAACTCTTTTGTATTCCTGATAGGAAATCACTGGACAGTATTCTATGTCTTAAACTACTGTCCATTGATGCATCATTAGTTTAGGAGATATTAGATTTTGTTTCAATACTCTGGCATCGTTTCATGAAGTCTTTGACTGTTGGTTAGAGCTACATAAGTAGAGGCTATCCCACTGGTGTCCTTGAGTGGCGTAGATGCACTGTTTGGAAACTGTTATTCACATGAATCTGAGTCGTTCTTCTACATCCATTTGATATTCTATGTGATTATGACTTTCTCCCACATGTTAATGTCTACTCTGAACTTTTGTACTTGATTCTATGAAGTGTACAACTTTAACTACTGAATTGTAGTATGACGTTCTATGCTGAAAATCTGGTTCACTTCACTAATATCCATTTTAGCGGAAAAAGAGGCCAGTCGGGTAAAGATGGTCGGGTATGGGAAAGAATACTCACCACCGGTGACATTGGCCAGTGCTAGTAGCGCTATATGGTGAATTGGCAGAAATTAGGATTCATGCACTGGCCACTGGATAGGGTTCACTGGCCTAATGGTCTAAGAGCTCGCCAGCGTTCTAACCGGAAGCTCCTAGGTCCGGTGCGGTGCATACTGTCGACGGGTCTCAAACTAGTGGAACGAAAGAGCTGCCAGTACTCCCAGGCTTTCCAATGGTTCTCTAACTGATGCCAGCTCAGGATGAAATCCTGAAAGCAATCAAATCCCAGCAAACCAACGCTTGAAAATGTAAATATTTTTTAAAATTGCAGTTGCTTTCAGTCATTTGTTACCAATGACTCTCACAGATTTACAGCCTGGTCGTCTAATAGAATTTACTTCCTGTTTTATACATAGCCTGACTGTGTTATATTTAATGCATTAGGTCTGTACAGATTTTAAAAAGCAAAATGACAGTGTTGCTTTTTCGACTGAGGTTAAACTTTCAAGAGTTCTTTTATAGAGATATTATTTGTTTCAGGCTTGATAATGAAGTGATATTGGTCAGAAAAACACTGAATATCACTGTGGAGCACTGGACTGCCGTTTTACCCCGATTAGAAGCTCATTAGAAGTGCTCACCTACCAGAAATCGAACCTAGGACCTTCAGATTACAAGTCAAACTCTTAGGCCTCTCAGACACTGGACCTGACTCACTGGACTGCGTGTTCTAACTTCTACCAAACCGTAGTTTTTGGTGTGACCACCAGCCACTGTCATCGGCGCGTATTTGCCCTGACTCCTGACAGGTGGAAACTGCTGGTCATTAGGTCAGGTTTAGTTACCATTCTGTGTAAGCTGAGAAACGTTCGTTCATTACTTCTCAACTATTACCCAATTGGATATATTGAAGTGACTGTAGCATCACACACACACACATGGAAAGTCCTCCTGTATGTTTAAAAATTAGCTTGTTAATTTGTTTTGCAATACTTTTATTTTTTTAAATTCTACTTTAAGGTGAAATGTTTTTACGATTCAGAGATGTCAGATTTCTACTAGATAGAAATGATCAACTGACAATGAAAGATAGCGACTGTATTGCAACAGTCGATTTGGCTCCACCCAATGCTAAAGAAAAAGCCAGTAAAAAAGTTTATCGTCAGTTAACACAGTAAGTTAATCAAAGAGTCCAATTCACTGTGTTATCAATGCGCATGATAGCAGTCATTCAGATTTTTGTTTACTTTAGGTACTTAGCCTAAAAACAGTCTGTATTAGGGGTTCAAATGCAGACTTTGCAATAGAATCAGCACTGAACATTCACTGTAGAGAAGGGTTATGGAAGATTTGAAGTTAAACTATCCAGCTCAGATACGAATGGCTTTAAAATCCCCATTAAGTCACATAGCCGAAGAGTTACTCCCTTCCGCGACATAATTAACAATTCTGCATATAATACAGTTTCATATAAATCAAAGGACTGTTTCCAAAGACTTATAGGTTTCAGATAACAATTACTTAATATAGAAAGCATTAGTTGGCGTAGAATTTACAGTAGAACTAAATAATTAATCTCTCTGTATATCTGTAATTCAGCGGTAGGATGTCCTCAAACTCAGCATGTAGTCAGGAGCATGACGACTGGTTGACGCACTCCTAGACATCGCTTAGCCAACATTAAGCCTCCTAAAGGTTGGAGGTGAGCATAGCAGCCACAACCTGTAAACAATTACACTACGGCTACTGCAACTTTACAGCTCTAGCTTGAAGTCCTGTATTCTGCTCGGACTGGGGAGGAATGAGAAAATGCTGACTGACTGACGCAACATAATTGACAAGATTGAGCAGAGCTCAACTATAACTGGAATCGGGTTATTTTAAGATCAGTTCTATAATGGATTAGGAACGCATTAGTGAGAAATGAAACAGTAGAACAGATACTGCTTAACTTTAGGTAAATTAATGTACAAAAAATATTCCGCAAAGGTTCATTTTATGATTTTTAAATTCACCTTAAACGAAGACTACTCAGATTATTTATTAACTTTATACTGTTATCCCTGCACTAATTCGATAACATATTTTTGAGTAGTGTGAATCACAACTGAGTTGTATATTTTGAGTACCTGTTACTGATTGGGTTTTCTTTTCGCATGTAGAAAATGTATCTTAATGTCACGAAACTTACGGGATCCTATGTTATTAAGTTATGTAAGGGATAGTGAATAAAATTAGACCTTGGAACTAAAGCGACAGAAATCAGTGAAATAATTATTATGTAAAGTATCAATTTAGGAGGACTAAAGACAAAGGAAACTAAGATAGCAGTAGTTATCTCACATGAGTTAGTCATAAATACCAACATTCAGGTAAAAAGATCATTTCTGGTAAGGCTACCTACCAGCCTTGGGTTGGTTGACCATAACCGATGCAGTGCAATAATGACTAAGGTTGGCAGCATTGGAATCAGTGGTTAACTGATTACTTACCCGATGCTTTACCACTGGCCTATCTGCAAACCAGGTTACATCAGAGAGGTCATAACTTAATGTCCAAGTACTTTCGGTCTTCAAGAAGCAATCACACTCAAATGTTCAATTCCTAAACATGTGCTGTACACCCGAGAGGTGTGAATATCTAAAGCTACTATCACACACACATACGTATCAAGAGAAAGAATGTAGTTTCAGAAAAATAAGTGTTTATAGGGGAAAGTAATCTAAACATAAGTTCACGGTATTCATCGGGCTGAAGAAGTCTTTTTAGATCTGAGTGGACTACCCAGCCTTAAGGTCTTGAGTGAAACTTTGTGTTGAAGTGAGATTGATAGCTACATATTTTCAATTTAGATTTCATCACAAACCAACACTAATTAGAAAATCAGTGAAAACCTAGAAGCACTGCACATTTGTTTCGTCCTAGATTGGGAATCTTCTACAATGACCACTCACAATCCCATGAAGTGTTGAACCCTAAAGTTACAAGGCCAAGCCCTTCGACTATTCAGTCACCTGGATCGAAATTCATTGAATTTTTTACTTTGACATTTTCTGATATAGAGGTGCAACTAATCAATACCATCAATTAGCGAAAATTTCACCTTGACACGGAATCAACTCATTACAACTTCAGGACACCTGAATGTCGATCTCCAGTTCTCTGCAGACTATCAGATAGACGTTTCTGATGGGTTGAGCGTGTGAATTCCTGAAGACCTCAAAACAGGGACTAAGCAGATGCCCAGAAACCTCTGGTTTTCATCTATTCTCTAACTGATCTGAGCTCGTTACGGAATCTTAATTGAAATTAATTCAAATCCTTATATACCCAGTATCACAAACCACATATTTATTAAGTAGGGGAGTGTCTCCTTGATAGTTTGCAAATTCATCATGATAATAGTTGAAATGTGTAAAGTACACTCTGTTTCAGTGTTAGTGACCAATTTTGATTGGAGGCGTTAACCACATCAACTTCTTGAATATTTCAACATTACAAGAAAACAAATGAACCACTCTGTCGTTTAATTACTTAACGAAAGAAAAACTAGTTAAACTGACTAAAATATTCTTCTCCAGAATATAATATATTTGCAGATTTCAAGGCTACTGAAGAATTTGACATTCTGGTTTAAATCAGAGTAAATAACATCGTGTAATCTAACTGATGTCGAGTCGTGATCAAACTTGTAGCCAATCAAATCCCTGTACGCCAATACCTGACATTCCATTTTTGATAATCACAGTGTTTTCTAGGTGATTCAATAAGTTTGTAGTACTATTAATCACTAATTGGTACCATTTAGACATTCTTGCATAACCAATTGTCAGTCACGAAATAACTCTTTCATTTTATCGCTCAACTATTTGGCAGGGGATATCAACAACTCCAAAGACACTGTTGAATCTGCATCACTAAATAAGACAACCATTAAGTGCTTCCTCTTTTTCGATTGGGTGTTTTGGACTTTTGTCAAAAATGAAGATTACTGTGATCATCGTAGTCCGTAGGACAAGGAGAAAATTTTGACTACAATAATAACTTCAACAAATAAGAATTATTATTCTCTGAACAAGTGGCGGTTTTCATCACTGAGGGGCTTAACAGATTACCAACCCTTCGACATTTATAAGCAACAGATATTGGGTACTAGTGTTAGCGTGAAAGCAGCAATCCTTTTTTTCCATTCCTTTGTGTTTCTGGTGGAACATAGAACTTTACGTCGAAGCCGTAATGTTTTGGTAGCGGTGGCTATATTTATAAGGTGTGAGATTCGTAGCCTCAGTTTCAGCCCCACCAACGTCCTTACAGGGCTTACTAATGGCTGAGCAGTTCGAGGGTGCATCGGCTAGGAACCATATTCGGACCATCTTCGTGAGTGGTGAGTATTCTATCGTTAAAACACTGTGCTCAGTCACCCAGTAGTCTTCTGAACAACTCTCTGGCGTTCAAAGCAATAAGTACTTGGTTTCAGTCTCATGAGGAACACCATAAGTCAATCAATGACAAGATCTAAATAGGGCAAAACTGGCCTTCTGAATTTCACACTGCCATCCAATGTCACTGACACATAATATCATATTACTCCAGTGCAACGTCCAAAATATCTCTACAAAAGGCTGATAAGTGACAACAGAGACTGAGAATTTTAGTGAAATTCAAAATAATTTCATCTCAAACTATTTTATGGAATGATATTAGATCCTTTATTATTCTTTTGTTTGTCTTTCCCCAACCTGCTTATTCCAGAATATGTATTTCATGGTTTCGAAAATCAGACGAAGAAGAAAAGGCTTAGCGGAATGGTACATTAAATCAGATTCCTATTGTTACGTTTATTGATAAAGTATAATTTTGTTTTGAAAAAGATTCCTAATCATAGTGTTTTCTGTTTTTTGCTTATTTACCAGCTTGTGACTCATAGGTAATATCGTGGTTGTTCATAGAATTAATTAGCTAATTATTCAAAAATTACACCCCAAGGAGTATAGAATTGCTTGAGTCTAGAAAATTAACGTAGAAATGCCCTCCCGAATGGGTACTGACAGCATACAGAGGAATAAGAAGGTCTGAAAAGCTTTCACTTATCATGACATATTTTCCTTCTTAGCTTTATATCGCAGTGACTACATGGGAGCAACTTTAAGACTTATAAGGTATTGATATCAGGACCCATTTTGCAAAGGCGGTGGGCATAATTCAGTTTATATTCTTCTGTGAGTCGTGAAAATCTATGTGACAAACATAGCCAAACATAGCCACACTGATGAGTTTAAATATGTGTGATTTTAGCTTCATATATGCGTCCCAAGTAGGTGATTGTTTTCCCATTAACATTCAAACTAAGTGCACATTGCTTCAAATGCCAAGATGTATTCCTTTAGACCACTTGACGTAAAGAGCTATCGCCTGTGCAATCAGTGTGATATGAAATTATTCGAATGTATGATTTCCTCTTGATATATCTCACCAAGATTGACTAGCTTAATTTCGGCACTAGAGACACCTTAAATAGTTACCCTCTTATTACCCGGAATCGAGAGCAACTGGATCCAGATGATCTTTGAAATTTCATCTTGGATGACCTACTTAGTGAGGTTATCAGTAATTGCTAACTTCTTACAATCAGCTCATTTAAGAAATTTGAATAATACAATAAAAACATCTTTTGAAGGATGAGATGAATTCATCCTATTTAACAGACTTTTCATCAACTGCATACACTCTTAATTCGAAATAATTTAAACATACTTTAGCTGAATAATCAGTCCATTTTATAAGATTTTGAAAAATGTGCTGAAAATTGAGACGAGGTACACACACATTAAAAAATAAAATAAAGTTTCAGTAGCGGTAGGATACTGTCTGAATGCCCACAAGAACATGAGGTAGGACTAAGTCGTTTGAAGGGTTTCCGACAGCATATTCTAGTATATGTGGGGAAACCGTTTAAATGGATTTACACGACGCGTTTGCCAATATTCTTCAATGTCGTGTCCCTAAAACCTTTTTAGAATATATAATAATTTGTTAACTTCAAAATAAACTTCACATTTATCTTGAGTCTCATACTCTTATGGATAGTATTCTCGTTTCCAAGTGTCCAGAGTTTTAGTAGTAAACATTTCTGAGCGGCATTCACCACTTAATGCTTTAAGACTACATAAGACTGTTTCTGTAAGTTTTACAGTTTATCTTCTTGACATATCAGCCATATACACTTTCATGTCCGCAAATTTATTGTGTAGCACTGTCGTGTCTAGACAGACAGATGCAGGAGGAAGAATATCGGCAATTCCATCCTCAAAATATCTTGTTAATTGCGCACATTGGGGAGTCCCGTATGATTTCCTAACAGTGATACAAACTGCCCCAGAGTCACACAAAAGGACTTCGACTTAAGACCTGGAAGAGGACGCCTGTGTTTGAAAGCATCTAATGCATTCATTTGCCTTTGTAATAGCCAGAGTAGCCCACTTTTATTTCCGTTATAAAGTTATCTGACTTTAATTGGGTATGATAATTGCTGAAGGAAGGGAACCCAGATGACAGCTGATGTGTTGATAAAAAGAGAGTAAAGTGTCATTTATCAATATGACAGCTGGACAATATCCATAATAACTACTGTGAAGTGATGAACTGGTTATCACTTGGGTCTTGTAACTCGGCTGATATTACGTTGAGGTAGTCTTCTAGAAACTGATAATTTAAATAGTCCCAAAATTCAAATTTTCTTTATACCTACATTAAGTCACTGCTAGGTTGAGAACAATGAAGAAAGTATAATCCAAGCAGGTTTTGTTACTTGCATACACTGATCACAGCTGATAATCATGCTTGCCATCGGATAAGAAGCTGAATATTTCATCCTCGTTGATATATTACCAAACTGGTAGAACTTAAGACGAAATGCATTAAAGTACTGTGGGAACAAAACACACTGGTCATATTTTAATATGTGCTTTAAATACTTACTACGAGGCAAGAAAATAAAATAAGCTGTGAATGTAGAAGACTATATATAGATTGACTACCATGATTAGCCTAAAACTCCTTACCAACTCAAATTCTTCCATCCCCACAGAATTATTGAAAAGGCGGAAGATAAATATTCCCTGTATACTAATGTCAAGTTAGTATTTCCATTAGTCATCAAAAACATTTCCAACAGGCTGCTGAAAACTTTCATTAATAGATGACTTCACCTGGTACTGAACATCAGATGACTAGTGGTATATGACAAGCAACAAGGAAGCCTGACAGGCAGTGAATCGGCCAACAGTCTGTAATTCAATAAATATGTAAAAGGGTATGGGCTAACACTAAGAAGACATTTGTGTTACATCATGCATCTGACGGTTGAGTAGAATCCTAATAGGAAGCAGTGAGTTAGGCGTGAGTTCAAGGATGATGTGGAGGGGACCATATGAAAACGAAATGAAATCTTTTGTCTTTTTGTAGGCTCGGCTGAGATGAAGACGAAGAGGCGAGTGAAATGAAGACGTGCTACTGAAGCTCACTACTTACAGGGTCTAGAATTCAACTGCCGGCTAACGCACTCCTAAACCCCAACCCAAATCAGTAATCAGTAATGACCCCGATAAATAGCAAAGACTGAATGTGTGGATATTGACCCTACCCCTTATAAGCAACACCACTGGTGCTGAAATGTCAAAGTCAAAAGCCCTTTGATACGTATAATTATCTTACATATAAGTCTAATGCGTAAGAACTGTCATCTGACTGGTTAGCAACGTACTAATAAAGATTTAGCGGCACAGCATTTTTACATTACACCTGAGTGCTTAGCCCGCAGCCAACATAGGAAACACTATATTATACTATATCCTTTGTCCATCCTGAAATCTTTGTACAGAATTTCCAAATACATACAGCAGTAATATAAGAAAATAATGAGCAGAAGAATCGGTTTGCTGATGAAAATATGAAAAATGAAAATATGACCACAAACATTATTTTCTCTTAAAATTTTCAGAGATGTGATCTTCTTGACACACTTTTCCTCACGAACGATATAAGCCAAACTAGGGGTAACTGAGTAATGGTACTTATTATTACTTATATTTATGATGTTAGCATATATTGATTTTTCACTGGGATCTAATTGGAGTCATAAATCTAGCCCTTTCTGTTGGAAGTGGCTGAACTCTGTCAGCCAGATATTCCATGTAGTTAGTAGGCTTGGCAGCATTCCATCACAGGGTTCTCTGAACTGATTTTGGATGTCTGGCGCATGAAGCCGTAGACTTAGGCTTCTCACTGACTTGACCTCATCAGTATTGTGTATCTGTGACCTCAAAAACAGTCCTCAAATATCCGAACCAGCACTAATCGAATCTGTAATCGTGGAAATTTCCACTGAAATATTCATGCTCACTAAGGACTGGACATATGACACTGGTAGTTCGCTAGTGAGCAATCTGTGTGTGAATTACAATCTTTTAAAGAGGCAGTCATAAGCTCAAATAACTCTGTGGAAGTCTTTGACTTTAGCATCTGGTAACACTACTGGGGAATATCAAGCCCTTAGAGGACGCAGATAAGCAAACATGATACCTTGGCCCACGACTTTCTGACAGTTACTTTCAAGCAGCCAACATAAGTACATTACTGGATAATTGGAGAGAAGCAAATTCAACGCAGTTTACTGAACAGAAACGTTAGTGACTTGTAGTTTTAAGCAGGCTACCAGTAGCAGTGTTCTTACTTCTACTAAGGCTATTTTAGAGTTGTTGACTAGCGTTTTATTAGATGTTCTGTAATCAGCAGTATCATCTTAGTATGTATATCCATTTAGTCAGAATGAATTACACTAGTCTGTAAGGAACATCCAAGTCTTTCAAGGTCTGTAAAGTCATCAGCATATGATGCAGATTCTATCGTCATTAGCAATTGTTAATAACCACTAAAAAGCACGACTGATGTCTAGGTTAGAGAAAATTTCCTACTGTTTGGTCCGTAACGACCAGTGGCAGTCTATTTTATCATTCACCACGCCGCATACTTAACTATTAGTTATCTGTTTACAAGCAATAGGTCGTGCACGGATGTATTTTCGATACAATTAATGTTAACTTGCCACATTCAAGTATTTTTTCGTTCTTCACCTTCTGATTGAGATACTGGACTTCACGCCTTTTGAATTCTTAGAATCCAGGGTGCTGTTTTGATTTATGTAATTGGATTGCTAACTTTACACCCAACCTTACATCATTATGAGGCTTACAAACACCAAGTAAACTAAGAGAGATTAACAGGGTGTGTCAACTGGGAACCGATTCTGGGCTCGCGAGCTGATGACGTGTAAAATATGAGGCATCCCATATTCTAAGTATTCACCTCTGTGGTACATGTACTAAAATCACAACGATACACAAAAAAAGATAAGGTGCATTCGAAAGAAAAGATACGACTTCACTAACCGACAACAACAACAACAAACACCAGTCACCAACAATGACAGAAATTCAAAGTATTTCACTTCTATCACTTATCTACACAGCATCGTTTCAAATACATGTAGTATGAATGAAGAAATGAACATCAAGACTGGAAGAATAAGATAAATCTTCAATAATCGGAAATCAGCGTCAAAATCTGCCGTGAACAACATAAAGAACAAGATCCGGATTTTTTACACTAATGTCAAGTCATTGTTCTTATATGGTTCATGAATTTGATGCAAGCGTCACTAGAATCACTTCCAAAACAGGCTACTGCAGGCTTTCATTAACAGCTGCGCTTACTTGATGTTAAGAATCAAATATCTAGGAAAGATATGCAACAAGTTACTTTAAAAGGCAATGAACCAAGTAATAATCTATCGCCTAACAAATATGAAGAAGGAAATGGACATGGATTTTGCAATACGCTGACGTCGGCTTTGAGTCACATCATGCATCAGGCCTTGGAGTGGAACTAGAATGGGAAACGACGATATGGCAGTAGGTTTGAGGATGATCTGAGAGATATCACGTGGGGAGGAAATGCAAGCCTATTGACAGTCACAGAGTAAGCTGGGAAAAACTGCAGGGAGCTGATATATATGTTTCACTCAGGATTAAAGGGAATAATAAGTTAGAAGAATTAATGATTTGGAAAGACCATTGGATCGGATCCTTGTAGCTTAATAGTCTACGAGCTCACTAGCTTTGTAGCCGGAAGGTCCTTAGTTTGAACGTCAGTGAGTGCGTGCTGATGACAAGTCTCAAACTAGAATGAAACAGATGACCAGTACTCCCAGGTCTTCCAATACTTCCCTAACCGATGTCAGTTCATGATGATATCCTGAACAGATCACGGTGGATATTAGATATCTGCATGCAGTATGAATACAAACATTACACTTTTGGTCGAGTCGCCATTGTAATTTCCAACCACCTAACAAATGACCTCCGCCTTACGGAGATCTAACCCATAACATATCATACGGAAGGAAACAACACACCGAAATATGTTTACGATAGCATTTTATTGCTGTTTCACGTTATGCAATTGCATTCAGAAATGAAATAAAATGCAGAGAGAAAAAACAATTTAATGCTTTTTTCAAATGATATTTAAAATTAAAACGTCGAATTACGTAAATGTATAATATATATATATATGTATATATGTATGCATATGAAGATAAATTACTTAAGAAAACCATATTTGAATTGTATTCATTATTTTTAATCTTCGTAAGAAGAGGCTGAATGAAGGAAGAGGGTACGAGGAAGGAAAATTTAATTGCTTGTGGATTTGTAATTTTCGGATAATTTATATGAATATATATGTATATATATATGCAGTTTATCGCCTCTGTTCAAATTTCCACAAAAATCAGAAGGTCAGTTGAAGATGCTGCATGTCTATGCATCTGTCTGTCCAATTTTAATTTTATGATAAATTCGTAAAAGCAAAACATACATTCATGAATATAATGACAATTTAGCGGAGGGAAAGGTTGGTTGAGGCGTCAACGGGTTTCATTTTGGCTTTAAGAATTTTTTATCTGATGATTAGTCACTTTGCTAACTAACCATCATCGTGATTATCACAACATTTTTTATCGTCGCTTCGTCGACTTCAGAAGAAAAAAGCAAAAGTTTGTAATGAAGCAGTATGCATAGAAAGGAGTCTTTATTGTTGTGCTGTTTTAGTTTTGTTATTGTTGATTCGTATGGGTAGATTTCAATCTGCCAACACATCGAGTGGCCGAATTTATGTGATTTCAAACAAAAGCGAAAGTCGGTTTTCTCTTCATGCTTAGCCTACTCACGAGTAGTATAATAAATATCACACAATTAAATTGTCCACTTCACAGACAATTGATGCCAAATAATTAAGTGAAAAGATAAAACAACATAAAATACTTTTAGATAAGTAAATATGATGACAACAGGTGAAAAACAAACAAACATTAAATCAATGTCAAATAAACAGAGACGTCAAGACATAAAGCAGGAAGAGAGTGGCAAAAATAAGTGCAAATTATGTAACTTTCGTAGAAACAACACCGCACTATTGTAGAACAACATCAACAATAAGAAGAAAACACGATAACGATGAAAGTTCTAATCACTGTAAGCTTATAGAACAACGTTGTAATCCAATGAATTTAATATTCAAATGGTGCATATGTTTATGATTCTTAGAGCTGAGTAGCTGGAGACGCCATTTGGCAAGAGATGAAGGTAGGCAGCGGGACGGTGCTGGGACGAAAAAGAACTAAATCATTGATATACTGACTAGGATTCATACATGAACTTGTATATTCTTCATATTTTTTTCATATTGTGTGGATTTTTCCATTTTTCTGTGTTTCAATAAATTATGCGAATAATTTACTTACATTCATACATACAATTCAATAATTATGCCTTTGCATTAAAAGCAAAAGTGAAGTATTCTCGGAAATAATTATCACCATTGTCTTAGCATTATGTCATGCAATATTATAGTCTTATGATTATACACTTTGAAATAAAATAATGATTATGATTATAATGAATAAGCTTCGTATTATTGGATTATTATTGTATATGTATATACATGTATACTCAATCAGTTTTAGAATAGTTATGAAGCTTGCATTGTATTAGAACGAAAAGTGCTTCTAAGAAAAATAAATAATTAAATAGTTTAATAAATTCATTCATTCATTCATTGAGTGGCAATAAAATTCCCTTACATACATACACACACACACACACTTTTAACTACATCGATATTCTCATGAGATACAGGCTGACAAACACGCTTCTCTGTTCATATAACTGTGTACAGCAGATAAGGAGAGAATCCGGGAGAGAAGAAAATAAAAGAAGTGAGCCAAAATGTGAAGGAGCAAAGGGTTAAGCGGATATCTGCTTAGCAGAGTGACTAGTGATCAGAAAGCAAACCTTATCAATATGTATAATCATGTATTTCCATGTCAATTACTTATTTATTTATTTTTAAATGAATAGGAAAACCGTGTAAACAAGAATAAGAATAAGTAAATAAATAAATAAAATAAAACAAAAATGATTTTTCCAGTAATATTTTGTATGTGCGAATGAGTGTGTTGAGTTTTTTTTAATACGGTTTAGTTGAGTCATTTTTAGGACGTTTCAACTGAACTTTCAAACGTTTCATGCCAATTTGAAAGCCATTCATTGCTTGTATAGCAGCTTGTGCACTGGTTGGATTATCAAAGCTAACAAAACCTTAAAAATAAATAATAACAACGGTGATTAAAATAAATACTATTTTATTATTAACTGATGATTATACCGAATAACAAAATGATCTGTGAAACTCAACTGATCTTGCCAACTTTTGAGAGAAAGAAACATTTAGAACTAAAGTTTCTGTTATATACACCTAGTTTAGCCTAATTTTGCATAAAACCTTAAAATAACTATTTTAAGAAGTTATCATACCTTTTGTTTTTCCTTCTGTTTAGATTGGTGGATTCCTATTGGCTGTTAACACTTTTACTGCATCGGTGAATTAATACACTTTCAAGGTCATTCCAACCCCATTTCGACTGTTGTTTGAGACAGTCGAAGCTCTCTAATCGACGTCCAGTCCTTTCTATTGTCTTTGCGTGCCGGTGTTATTATTATTATTGTTGCTGCTGATATGTGATTAGGACAAACTAGACAGCCTATTAAGTTAGTATTCACTCATATTCAACTAATTTGTAGTTCCGTTCATAACAGTCTCCCTCCGGCGAAGTTCAGCAATGGCGTTCCAGGAGTGTGAACACTCCATTTACCTTGAACGCATGCCAGCCGTTGGCTAACGGCACCTGTCATAATAAAAGCTGAAATATCAAGGCTATTCACTAGCTAAGCAGCGAATTTCACCCACATTACGTTTTTAAGTACTGTTTCGACAATATGTTGATAGCTCGTTAGGATTAGGATTAGAGTTGAGGTAAATATTGGGGTTAGGGTCAAAGTTAGAATTACGGTTTGGATAAGGGTTATGATTAGGACCAGGATTAAGGTTAGGATTACGATTAGGGGTAGATTTATAGTTGATGTCATTTATTTTAATTTGCTTTGTTATCCACATTTTCCTGGTAAGAAGTCGTCGATCCCCATACTGGAAACCATAGTAGGTCAACCGAGGGCTTTTGGGGAAGACTGTACAACGGGGCAAGAGAGATAAACAATTCACAAAAACAGCTCATCTTCAGTCACCTTGGTGAATACATGTACAGAAACTAGTCTAACTTAGCAACTGATACTTTTCATTATTACTAGGAAGGCTTTGTAATTCATATCAGAGAAAGATAACCTGTTTAATGTATTTTCGTGCATTTTCTTGTAAATATAAGTGATTTTTTGTAGAAACATTCCTCGTTATTATGACTGGTCGGTTGAAGGGCACTCGTGCATTCGCATTCCTTGGTACGCTATTATTAAACTTTGCCCCCCCCTGCAAATAAACATTACAAACCTGACCCACCACTGATTCACATCTGAATAACCAATAGAATTTCTGAAATTCTGATAAGATAAAACCAGTTGAATCCACCCATCAAGATAAGTTAACAAAGATTTTGTGTATTGCGAAGAATTTGGAATTCATGAACTGTTGAACTCCAAACCAATCTCTGAATCATTAACGAGTTCGCCTTATTGGATTTTGGGTCCTAGACACAGTGTCTGACATAGTCATCGATATGCACCAGTGAAGAGTTCCAGACCTCACAGAAACAAGTGTTCAGTGCTTCCTGGTGGCCTGCTTAGAATCTGAGCTACCAAAATCTTCCATCAGTGACAGCATCTTATTCCTCGTGTTCACTTTGTAATAAATCGTGGAAAATAGCCATCAGGACATAAGAGAAAGAAAAGAACAAGAAGCTCAGCAAATATATCTTTTTGGCGAATTCCACCTCAAAAGCTGTGCAGCCATAGTGATATATATATATATATATATATATATATATAAATTTATGTAGATACAGTTTTTATTCACTTTCACATAACAACGAAGGCAAATTAAAGGTGATAATAATTTTCAACTTGATATGAAAGTTTGAATATGTGAATATAGATTACAAGGGGCTTAGGAACGAAATGAAAAAAGATTAGAAGATAGTTGCTTAATATGCAAATTAGTTTTTAAGACAGTGTGTTTCAGATTTCTTAGTACAGAGAAAGTCCTCGTGATATGCATCAAAAAGCCTGAGTTATATGTTCAAAGGAGACTAATGCAATCTCTACATTAACTAGAGATACACTTTAGTTTCACTTCTTAGTTTTCGGCTTTTGGTTTGTCATTCCCTTCAATTTATTCGCCTAAAGTTATAAAAGTATGTCATTGGCACAGTGATTAGGACGCTCGCCGACCATGCACATGGTCCAGGGTTCGATCTCCGGCCACAGACGCACTCCTTTACCTTGCCAAGCCAAAAATAATGCTGGTAAAGAGGAAAGATTGAGCATGAGGCTAGCAACCTTATCTTGTGAAATTAAAATACTGCTACAGAAACTTCAAGCCACTAGCCTGAGGCCCTAATTTCCACTGGGAACGTGAAGGAAAAAAAAGTTATAAAAACAGTCTTGGTTAAAAACTACTTTACATATTACGCAACATCTGTTCATTCTCTTTGTAATCTCTATTCAGATAATCAAATTTTCATAACAAGCTAAAAATTATTATCACCTATACTCTTCTCTCTTCGTTATTATGTAGTATTAAATAATAATTGTATCTATGGAAACTTATGTATATAAATGTAACTATGCAGCTTTTGGGGTGGAAATCACCGGAAAGATATCTTTGCTGAGCTTCTTGTTCTTTTCAAATTGTAATAATCTATTAAAAAAAATGTGATCTTTATTGGTGTTTTATACTTTAGGAAGTATTTAAAATGCCTGCAACCCTACCAATTCAGGAGTCTCTACTAGACTTGAGAAAAATTATTATCATTATTATATTATTCAAAAAGCGTAATTGTGGGTGGCGGCGTATCCCAATACATGAGATAACTGCTTCTGAGATTTTTGGTATGAACTACCATTCTCTACGAAACAAAACTGTCTACCTAGAGTCTTCAATCATTCGTTTATGTTTTCGAGTCGTGAAAAGTACTTGTATGCATTAAAAAAAATTGGAATTCAAATTATTGTGATGAATTTCTTGAAGGAAATGAAGAAGAAACATCATAAGAGACTAGTTTACCTTCCAGGTCAGACAACATTGCGTCACGTGGTCTGTTTTCAATTACCATTTTACTGGGAGGTGGTAGACGGAGAGAAAATATTATACACTAAATTCTTATGAGAATTCAATACACTGATCAGAATGAAACTATTATTGTTATCAATAATTCTCTGACCGATTTTGATTTATACTGAAGTCCATCCTTAAATATTTTTGTTTCATAGATAACTTAGACTAATGATCTGTCCTTCTGATAATCGGTTTTTCATTCCTAGACATTTGCAGTCGAACACAGAGCTTCAGGTTTAGGCTATCAGGTTTCAGCAGCACAGGTAATTATTTTGTAGCGGGCTAGGATTGCTAGCCTAAAGTCAAATCTTCCCTCTTTGTCGGGCTTACAAGCAACTGAGGGAGGTAGAGATATGTGCCGCCTGGGAATCCAACTCCAGACCATGTGAAGAGGGGTTAGCAAGTATTCTGCTGTTGACCCAACTACCAACATATTCATGAATAAGTATTTAGTCTACTAACTTAATCGTCTCATAATCTTTTATTCAGATAGCATATTGAACACATGAATCAGCGCAATAATTAAAACATATATCAACATTAACCACTATTGTCATGTTCATTACTTATTTTACATATCCTTTCTATCTATTTATCGGGACAATGAAAACTTACCAAAACATTTACTTTGATTTGTAGCCCGATCAACATAAACTTTAGCACTGATTACCGTTCCAAACGGCATAAACATCTGAGCCAATTCTGGGTCGCCAAATTCCTGTGGCAGATGGTATATGAAAAGATTGCAACCCTCTGGCCCTAAAAAATAAAACAATGAAACAAATAATTATGTGGGAAATAACACACATTTAAAACAGGAAATTAGAACAAAATTACGCACAAGCACACAAACACACACACTTATTCTTATGATGACAACACACAACCTTTTGGTACAATATCTATTCATTGACACATCTAATTCACCTACAATTTAATACATATGTAAATGAAACAAGCAACATATATGTATATATGTATGTATACAAATGTATATAGATTCACTGGAATATATACACTGACTGATAACAGAATTGACAACAGCTTTATGGACATAGAAAACAAATAGACGCCTTTTATGTATGTATGCGTGTATGTGCGTATGTACAGATATGATTACATGGTAAACAACCGTGAGTGTATTTCAGATTTCATCACGAAGTAAAGTCAACCATAGTACCACTGAAAATCTAAGAGTACTGGGCAGGTCCTAGTTGTTGAGACTTTTTAAAAGTACGCACTAATGACTCCACCCACCAGGGATCGAACCCAGGTCATTCGTGTTATGAGACGAGACTGTTGAGTACAAGCCAACTAGATTAGGACAAAGTATCTCTCCAGTAATCCAAAAATTTCTTTTTTCTGGATCTCTCAGTGATATCATTTCATAATCAAACTCCAAATCAATCAAACTCCTTTAGAAAAAACGCTTACGACTGAAAATTAAGTGTGTCTATGCATCATAACTAATCTACTTCCCCAGGTTGTTAGTAGTCATATTTTCTAGCAGAATTTAGCAATTTTTAGAAATAAAAACAGACTAACTGAGGAATCTAGAATAAGTAGACAGAATATTTATTAGAATGTATATACAATGATGGAAGGAACATGACCACTATCCGCTAAGTATAACCAATAATTATGAAAATAACTTTAATCTTCTACAATATTAAGTCTATTTGCGAGTTTATTTGTAACTGATTGCCTTTCCCATACATGCTTCTTGCTGGCACTTTTCGATAATTACCTTCTGATTTCTTATTGAATGATAATTCATATTCATTTATAAGAATTACTTCATTTTGACTTTAAAAAGACAATATTTTGAAGTGTTATAAGCTAAGGCTCTGTTAAGTGTAGTCCTTTCTTTTGTGCAGATTGAATTCTATCAGTCAAGTTTGATAGGTGGCTCGACATCACGGTGTACTGTGAATTTTTGGTGTTAGATGGTTGGAGGCACTTGGCAGGAAGCCTTGCCTTACTTAGGTTTCGCGCTAGTCGGCGTGAACCCACGTCACCCAGTGTTGCAGTCAGAGATGTTACCACTGAACTATTCGGACTCGCGACTGATCTCCGTAGGACTGTAGTGAATGTCTTTGATTGGACACTAGTCAGCAACTAATGTCATGCCTCTAGTCCTATCTTCGGTGTTGGTTTGAATCTCAGGAGGGGCATGCGTTCCTTCAAGGTCGCAAATACGCTTTGCTGACTGGTGAGTGCCGACTAACACTCAAACTTAATTAGCTGAGTATTCCTGCCGATTACCTGCAACCATCTAATATCTATTAAGTCTTCATTAACAACTATTGACCTGAATATGTAATAAGTAATATAATTGTAGTATTCATTGCTTTTAAAAGTAGTGAAGGCTTCAGTGTTTTACTGTGTTCACCAGGATCAGGATAGTGATGAATGTTTGTATAGCGAGCTATTTTGAAAAGGAATTCCATGAAGCCATTTTATCACAATCACCAATTTCTTCATGAACCCACATCAGTAAGGGTCAAGTAGGCACTTGACAGCTGCTTTGTCCTGGTCTGATGTTCTTCAGCGGTACACACTCATGACAGCACGAGAGATTGAACCCAGTACCTTCAGGTTATGAGGAGCTTATTGATCAAACAGCTACCTCGGCGGGTGTTGATTCATGAAGAAATCTAACAAATGAAGTTACTTCAAATCCTTACGGAATACCCATAATCGAAACATCAGTCTCCAGCTCATTGACATCTCTCAGATGGACATCCTAGAGCCGTTGGGTAAAGCCATTGCAGACAGTGGGGTAGACCATGTGATGGTTGCTCATCGAAGGTATCGGCTTCGGGTATCACTACATCAAGAATTGACAAGATTAGAATTCATTGATAATTCAACTCCACGCAAGTGAGTAAATACCCACTCAACTTAGTCTCGTAACTTGAAGGTACCGGATTCAATCCTTTTTGAGGTCGTGGATGTGTACTGCTGGACAGTTCCAAACTAGAACGAAACAGTTGCTCAGTGGTCCCTGGTTTTCAGTGATCTCTAACTAATTTTGGTTCGTGATGGGATCTACAGTGAAGTCTTTCTTTTTATCCTAATGAAGTCTCCAAGAGAGCTGGCACCATCTGAGTAGTCATTGGAATATCAAGGAGTATCAAATACTGTACTTTTTATTATAAATGATCAGTTTTTGCATTGAAGTCCTCATAGTAATTGAAACCAAACGATACCAAAATGATTTCGAAGTATGGCACCCACTCAACACGGATGCATTGGTCAAAACATATATATGTATTGAATATCTATGCATATACGCCTTCATATTGTAATATATTAGAGGAGAACAAACCAAAATAAAGAAAATCATAGACGTATAGGGTGTTTTCAGGATCAGTTATTCAATGCAGACAAAAGTTCATTGTGTAAAATTTTACCAGGGAATATTATGAACTGACACTTGGTTTATTCCTTATTATCTGTTTTATTTAAATCACCCAATTACTCAGTGTTTCCATTTACGATAATTTAAAATGAAATCAGCAGATATGGATATTTGTGAAAGACTTAAGCGAATGTCACAAACTAGCTCCAAATTAAACTCCCCACTATGTCCATTGGTGAAATTGTGAAAGTAACGTTTAGCTACTGATCAAGATTTAAGTAGTTAAAAATGAATTAAACAAATTATTCAATGTTCCATATAAAATATACAAGTCAGTTTTCTGTTTGCTGATAACAAAAACTCTTCCCACATGAGGACAGTGCAGAAGACGTGTGCTTATTTTGTGCTTATTTTCACAGAGTGAAGTCCATGAAATCTCAAGTTTTTTGTCTCATTTATTATACTGAAATTTACGACTAACAGCGGACAATGGAATATTCGTGAAACGTATATGACTACAAACTATGCAAGACGCATGCACACATACATACGCACGTATACATTTAATCCTCATTGTTCTACCTATTTCATAAAGATTATGATCATCTTTGATCACTGGCTGGTGTAGATGAAATAATTATTGATAACCAACAGGCATGGCCCGGGGTTCTATCCTCGGCCTGCGCACTCCTTTACCTCGCTAAGCCAGAAAAAATGCTGGTAAAGAGGAAAGGTTGGGCATGAGGCTAGCAACCCCATCCTGTAAAAATAAACACTGCTACAGTACCTTCAAGTCTCTAGCTTGAAGCCCTATGTTCCACTGGGAACGTGAAGGAAAAATTATTATTATTTATTAGTACTGGACAGTGCTGTTTCATTCCAGCCTTGAACTCCTGAAACAGTACCCACTAACCGGAGTGTGAACTTAGCACCTTCCACCTACTGGGACCTGACTCAATGGCCAAGTTATGAGATCTAACTTTCACCAATTCGTGATTTTAGCTTGACCACCACACAATGTCATCGATGAGTACATCTTCATGCCCGACTGCGTGGATCCCACAGGTTACGATATCTCACTAGAATTCCCTGAAGCTTTGTCCTATGATCAGAATCAGGATATCTTTCAGGATTTTTTTGTAGGGATTTGATTTGTTTCAAGTTTGATCTCTATAATCAAAGATTAGTGGAATTTGGACATTACTATATCGGATCCCAGTGGGTGAATGGTATAAGAGCTTACCTTATAACTAGGAGGCGTTCTGTGTTCGGCCTCCGGCCGGTGCGCATTATTGAGGAATCCCAAACTAGGACGAAACGGCTGTCCAGTAGTCTCTAGTCTTCTAATAGTTATTAAACTAGAGACAAATCAAGGCCCTACAAACTAACTCTTGAAAAATAAATACAAACAATTATAGAATAATAAAATTTGCAAAGACGAAATGTTTGTTCCATCAGTATTTGCTTCACTTCCCCCCCCCACACACACTTACTTGCTTCCTCCCTTACTTACTACACTTATAAGACAAGAAGCAAACATGGAGGATTGTCAATTATAGTTATACACAGGACATGAATATTTAGGCATTTTCCTGAGTATAACATCAAAGCAATGGACAAACATATAATTAATTATTACCCTGTATGTCTTTTGTTACTGTGACACATAGGCGTTCAAATACACACATACGGACACATCTTATTATGTACACACACATATGATATAATGATTATTAACGAACAACTGGACAAATGTAGACAGTGTAACTAACACCTTCTAAGAACTAACAGTGATACCAAAAAAAGCAAGGCGGACGCATAACAAACAGAAAAACTGAACGTAAACAAAAACGAGAAGAACAGTCAAGATACTACATAAAAGTACAAAAGAAGAACAGAGATACACATACGAACACACAGACATACATAAGAACAATATCTAGTGCAATATTCAAAACAACGTAGGAAAAAGGGTAAAATTTGAAAGAGAAATCAAGACAAAAGTTGAGACAGTTGACCAGAAATTTACGTAATAATGAAATAGCATAGAAATGCAGTCGTAGAGGGGATGAAGGAAGAAGGAAGCAAGGTATGAAAGAGTTTCAAGAGAACTGCACACACTGCTGAAACCAGTAAGCTTAAAGTGAGTTGTAAAAAACCATAGAAGTTTTGAATAAATTTACCGTTGATCATTTGTTAAATTGTTGGCTAATTAGGAAAGGGGAATAGAACAGTACATCAGTATAAGAGAATATAAATTATATACAAGTTTTGTTTTGCATGGAAACGAAACACCAAATTATTTATTGAATTTACAAACCTCTTCTTCTTTCGTTCTTCAATTTATCAGTTTACTTTATAAGCCGACAAGAAGATGTCTCGAAGTTGAGGGTTATATGGTTTTCAGGGAAACCGAATAGACACATATGCAAGTCCATTGCAAACCCATAACTGCATGTATTATCAGTGTGTGATTGAACCACTCGGGTGCCCTGTCGCCCAGCCGAACAATCATGGGGACAACTAAAATGTATTTTAGTGAACAGGGTAAAGTGGCGGTCTCCTGCTGAAGCCCTATGTTCCACTAGAAATCAAAGGTGGCATCTCAAACAAGCTACAGACCTTCATTAACAGTTGACTTCGCTCAATACTCAAGATCAGATGGCCGGAAAAAATCAGCAACAGGGATCACTGGCAATGAGCGAACCAACTAGCAACTGATTGTGCAACAAATAGGCAGGAAGAAATGGAAATGGATTGCCCATACTCTGAGGAAACCATCAAGTGACATTACTAGACAAGCCATTGCTTGAGTGGAACCCGAAAGGAAAGCGGTGAGTTGGTCGTCAGTGCAAGGGTGACTTGGAGGAGGTCAGGTGAAGAAGAGATGAAAGGGTGTGGGCAGACTTGGAGCGGAGTGAAAAAGTTGGCAGAAAACCGAAAGTAATGGAGACGCGTAGCTGAAGTCCTATGTTCTTCTAGGAATTAAAGAATATAATAATAATATATAATAATACATGTAAATAAAATTGTGCGTATAAACTGCGCACTTAGTCATTATAATAATTCTACTAATTAGTAAGACAAAAGATGGGTCTATTCGTGTCAACAAGGATAGTGAAAAACTGACATAATTAAACAGGGAAATGTTCAGATGGACATAGTAGATAAATTCTTAGGAGAACGAAATCAGATTAAATAATGCCAGATTATTATAAGGGAAGTAAACAAACTACGTTTTTAAAGGAGGAGTAATAAGAAGAAACCATTATTTATTAACTTATTACTTAGTAGTAGATTGTCAAGTGAAATTTTGTTCCAAAGACTAACCAAAAGTATGTGATGAACATTTTTATGAAGCAGATGTGTGTGCGTTTCTCATTTAAATAGTTAGCAGATGATCAGGATTAGAACAGGGGATAAGCTGGATGGCTTTGCCCCATCTATGTCTATTTATCAGTTCATCTGCTCATGAGAAGGTGGTTCTGTTCGGCGTAATACTAGAGAGCTTAGCCAATACGTTACAAAGCATCTTCTACCATGGTTTGGTGAAGGACAGATAAAAAACCCAGGAAAGTGACATTTGTCCTACCTTCCAATGGTGTCCGTATTCGTCTACTGCGTCTAGCTGAAACTATTTACTTTCAAACTGTTAGGCCTAAACTGTGAATTAAGGAGAAGTACGTACAACTAATAGCCTCCCCCAGTTTTATGAAAATCTGAGTTTAAAATATGCTAGCTAAGCCACTTGAGATAGAGAGACAGATAGATGGCTGATTTCTGTCTGATTTCATACAGACTAGAAGATCTACAGGTTAAAACCGACAAGTTGTCAGAAAAACCGGGTATCAAAGACAAGAATTTAAGTGAACACGGAAAAGACAGAGGTAATGAGGATACCTAACCACCACCAACAACAACAGCAAGCACCAATCACTATCAACGGGAGAAATCTAAAGAAAATCACCTCTCGCGCCTATCTATACAGCATCGTTTCGTCTAAAGGTGGTGCAGATGACAATGTCAAAGGTCGACGGGGTCAGAAAAGCAAGACAGATCTTTAAGAATCCGAAATCACCGGGGAAATCTGCTCCACTTAACATAAAGAATAAGATTCTGACTTTCGAAGCCAGTATCAGTTTAGTGAGTGTATACGATTCACAGGCTTGGTACCATTGTTAACTTAAGTATTTTGAGCAGGCTACTGCACACCATCATCAAATTAAGATTCTGTTGAATGGAATCACGCACCAGACCCCCAAATTGAACCGAAACGGGGAACAATGAGTTGTATGAGGGTTCAAAAGTGACACAAATCCTGTGTGGAGGAAATCGAAGGTTACGAGCGAGCATATAGCCTGCTAAAGAGGACTGAAGAGAGCGAATACGAATGGCGATGTGCTGATGAAGCTCTGTATTCCACCCGGTATCCAAGAGTACAATAATGATAATAATAATAATATTAATGGTTAGAGGTGAGCGCAAAAGAATCTCTATATTTGGGCCTATAAATTCACTTTAGTTTACTGATTTCTTGTTTAATCGTTTTTACACTCTCGACATTCAAAAGTTAAAGTGAGCGAAATTGAAAACAAAACGAGTGACTACAAAAGACAAAATAAATACAAACATATTATTACCAGTGGTATCGCGTAATCATGAATTACCTGTTAAAATTAAATCTTTAGTGCCTTCCTTTTGTTGTATCGGCATTGTAAGCGCTTGGTGTGCCATTGATGCGAATGGATTTAAAGCCGATGTGACAGGTGATGGATAAGCTGCAAGGTAAAATTATGCATTTTCATGATGATAAATTATTCAACAAAGATAAGTTAGCATCACTCTGAATCTAGATTTCATCATGAATCAAGATCACTTGCAGATGATTAGAAATATCCTCTTCTATGAATTTTAACTAATTGGAAAAGATAAATTAAAGGACGTGAAATTCGTAGCAAACTTAAACCAACATCCGTTGTCATGGTGACGAAAGTTACACATAACAATGATGAGAAAAATAAGAACATCATTTTTTTTCTTCAAGAAGCACAACTAATGCTTGTAGAATAAAACTATAGTTGTGAAGAGATAGACGGAAACAGAATGACATGTTGTTAGGCAATTCAATTAAATTTTCCCAAATATGAGTTCTTCTGTATTCCTATTTCTCTCTTGAATAACATAGCAGTATGCCATTTACTGTCAGTAAATGAAACAGAATGAGGATAAAGACTATTGCGAGGAGTTTTCATGCATATTATGTCAAATGTCACAGCAGATATTTCAGCTGAATAGAAGCAGCTGATAAAACACCCTTGAAATAGCCAAAGGTAACATCTGTGAGCACGTAATACAAAATCATCCCACAAAACCAAATCTACCTAAGGAAATTCAAATTCAATTCATCCATTCAAACAGGTGTAAACAAAGGAACGGGGTAGGTACATTTGATTTGCTTTAACTCATATACTCAGCCGATAAAATACGCTTTCCATTTCTATATTACATGTTGGAAAGAGGCTCTTGGTAGTATGTGGTTTCATTTCAACGTTCTTCTCTCTTGAAAGCTCTTACTACCATGGAATATAATATTTTATTGTAGCACAGAGTGTTACACAGCCCCTAATTTTATCGAATTTTTACATGACCTTGGCCTATAACCCTAAAATAGGTATACCTTACAGTTGTTGCTCACTTATAACTCTTTTTATATTTCCCAGTCTTTGAGTAGGCGACTTAAAACCTATGCATTCAACTATTTATCGCTGTTCCAGACTTAGAAAGCTTCTTTATCAAAAACCTGTCTTCTCTCTTCCCTTACACACAAAATACTGAAATGTAGTAATAGTACAGCGTAAATGGTTCTATGGTAGAATACTCGTCAACCAAGCTCGTGGTCCTGGTTCGATTTCCAACCAGCGATCTTGTAAACCTAGTCTAGCTTGCTAGCCACCAGTAAATCTGAAAGAGAGGAAAGATTTTTCATGGGGCGAGTAACCCTAACCCTTAAAATAAAACAACCCCGTCAACACTAAATCTTTAAAGCTTGAAGCCACATATTCCACCCAGATTGCAAAAGAATAAAAAATCAAAACATCTAATGAGGTGCTTACGTAATCCATAGGTTGGAACACTGGGATATAGATGTGAGAGAGCGTCTGTAGGAAGTCCAGCCAGCGGAGATGTCAGTGTATTTAGCCCAAATGAGGTATTTGAAACTAGAAAGACAAAGTAAAACAAAAGTGAATAAACAATACAAAATTATACAACATCAATATTATGAGTAGTTAGTCCTAGTATTAAACTTAAGAGTATAGTTAGGGTCGAGTTGTAAATCTGAGTCGTTAGAAATGTCATATTTGTATGCATTTTTCGTGGTCAAAGGGCGCTAAATGAATAAGGTAGTTAGCATTCCCCTTGAATCAGATCTTAAGTTCGATACTTCCAATCATTAGTTTATCAATCACAGCCGTATACAGGGTGGCATTTATTTGGTTCGATTTACTCCAGGATCTAGAAGGTGCGTTTCTGTTTAAAACTTATCAGTTGGATACACCAGAATCCGACTTAGTGGTGACATTCTCCCCTTGTATGTTTTTCATTCCACTGCGCTCCAGTAGAGCATAGGGTCTCACTCTGCAAGCTTTGAAGTTTCACCAGAACTGGTATTTGCTTCCGTTTCACGGGGTTGGGTTGCTGACCTCTCGCCCAACCGTTCCTTTCCATCAGTCTAAGATAAAGATGCGCGCCGACAGGAGTCGAATTCCGGACCACTTGCACTTTTGGCTAGCATTCTATAGCTTGACCACACACGTTCCAATGTCCACTGAATATATTACAGGTTTAACCATTAGCTTAAATCATTTAAAGAGCTATCGTGAAAGAGCTAGCAGTACTGGATACCTAGTTCGTTCCACTTTGGGACTCTTCATGAGAACGCAGCCACCGGAGTTTGAATCCATAATCTTCCGTTTACAAGGCGAGCTTGTTGACCACTGAGCCAGTGCGACCCAACTCGATGGCCAACAAATTCCAGCTTCTGCCAATCCGCCTGCCATTGTCATCAGCTAGTAACTCTTGTCTTATCACATTTGGTGAGATCGTGTCCCACTGACTAAAAGGTCTACGAGCCCGTCTCTCAACTGGAAAATCCTGAGTTTGAATCCCAGACAATGCATACTGAAGAAGGGTCCCAACATCCAGGTTGAAGCAGCTTTCCAGTACTCTCACCTGGTTTTCAGTGGCTCTCTAAATGATATCAGCTCTTGATCAACCCATAATCTCTTAAATCCTTGAAAACCAACACTTGAAAATTGCTGTGGTAATCTTTCCGATTGAAGCATTTTGATTGGTCAATATATTCAAAGTCATCTGTTTGATCACTGACAATATTCATCGTTTAACCTTTATAGTAGTGAAATAGTTAACCAACATTTTATTAAATTCATAAAGCACTTCATTCAAAGTTATGTAACTTTTTATGATACAATCTAGTTACAAATTCCAATTTTCTTATATAGAAAACGAGACTTTATCCCGAAGGATCAACTTACTAGCTTGATTCAATGGAAGAGACACGTTACAAAGACTACTGAGTGTAGCTGATGGTGTATGCGTCCCAGGAACTGTATGCAGTGCTAATGTAGGCCCTGTAGCTCCAGGTGATCCTAAGCCTATTGTCTGTCCGCTTAAATTGTTCCCATTGCCATTAGAATTCACATTGCCTGTAACATTTCCATTGGCCATTGCGACAACAGCTGCAGCCAATGCTGCAGCAGAATTACCACTACTCGTAGAATTATTATTTCCATTATCACCAGAGACACATGTATTACTGACATTTGACAGGGCAGCAAGTTGTGATGACATTTGAGTTAACTGGGGATTTGTGTTACCAGATATTCCGAGGACAGCAGCAGCTGTAGCCATTGGATTATTATTAACACAATTCGGATTTAAACTGACAGTTCCTGAACGTGAATTATGCAATAATGGGGTACAGGCAAGATGTCCACTTGTAGAAGAACCATTAGTTAAAGCGGATATCATTGCTAGATTTGATATATTATTGGGCAGATTGACAGTAGCCAATTGACTAGCATGTTGGAGTTGTAAGGCTAACGCTGCCACTGGATTGATATAACCTGTTGTCTGAGCCATATTCTAAAATTTTAAAAGGGATTTAAAAAGATGAAAATTTTCTGTGAATGTATGTACGGCTTTATTTTAAACTTAAAAACTCATGACAAACAAGGAAGAAGTGTAGGACTGCTGTTTTGTCCTTATTTAAAATTTCTGGTCAACCAATGCGTTAGTGTTTCATTGGTAAGATGCTCGTCAACCGTGCAGGTAGTCGACGAATCGAGTTCTGACAGCCGCAGTCCTTAACTTTGCCTTGTTTACCAGCCGGATGTTGAGCTTCGCAAAGAGGGAAGGCTGGACTTGAGTCTCGTAACTCCACCCTTCAAGAACAATACCACCGCTATTGAGACTTCAAGTCTGAAGCCTTATGTCCCATTCGGAATGCAAAGGAATGAGAAACAGTGCGTTTAACGGATTTTGAATCGATTCTGGGACTGTCATAGCTAACTACTGGCCAGGTGGAATGCTGAACAGTAACATAATCTTCAAGGAGAGAGTCTGAAACTTAAGTAAACACTTCCTCATTTTGCTGCTTGGCATTTTTAAAGCTTCTATGACTGACTACAAGCAATAAAAATAGACTCCACTTCTCTCTCAAATAATGGCAAAGATTATTAATATTATCTATAAAGGTAACTCCATAGACCAACTTATCGATCAACTTGGAGATTTCGTGTGACCTTCAAATTAGGTAGTCCAGAAGCGAGTGATCTATAATTTAGATCAAATTCACAATTTGCACAGTTCGAGGAGGTCAGATTTCACTCCACTTTCCTTTAGAAGAAACCAAAATTATTCAGATTACCACACTATGTGATCAGCTTCATAACAAAATTGGTAGTCAGGGAAGCAAACATATTCGTGTGTAACTGTGCATACTACTGATTGGTTGATATAAGTAGTTGGATACCACTCACATCAACCTGTAGTGGTTGATAGTCATTGAGGTCAAAATTGATTTAAACAGAGAACGACCGAATTCGATTGGATGTGTTTTTCCTAGTAGCTAGCAGGAAATTGGGTGATTTGATCTGAGCTGATTCACTCGTGGTGGTATATCACTGATGAGCCCGGCCGCGAACGAACAAAACAGTAATCTGGTGTTTGGGTTACTTAGATCTGGCTGGCAACCATTTATTAAGAAAATCAACACATTTTTATATATTTTAGTGCACATTATTATAGATTATTTGAGAAAACAAACACAGTCCTCTGATTGGTTGCTTCTCACAGAAAGTTAACCTTGCATCTCTTTGTGGCTGTTTTTGAATGTCAGATCATCTATATGTTAACTGTATCCGCCTACGCAAAGCCTTTCTTCTCATTTTTCTCAGGTTCAATATAGGGGACATAAACATTGACGTAAATAACTGTCCACCAATTTTGACTAACAGCCAGCTTTCACCATATACTCACCTGGAATACTGGCACATAGCTTTTATACCTGCTAGTTTACTGTCCTTAATAGCTTGTCAGAAAAACTCGCCAGCAGTTATGTAACCAAAGTTATCTACAATTCGCAATGGATTCTATCATTTGCCTAACACACTGATATGGCAAAATAGGAGGGTCTTTTGACACAGAACCGCCAGAAGTAAATTCACATCAAAACCGAAAATATACGTTTAATATTACGTAGTTCTGGATGAACAGCAAAAGAAGACAAAGTCGGCACCATCCACAATAAACACTATACTGGTCAAAGCGAGCATTCTCTTCGACTCTAAAATCATAAACTAGCTGTCAAAAGACATAACGTCCATTCTTTCATATCGGTTCATGTAGACAATTATGGTAAGCAGTTTGATTGAAAAAATGTAGAAGTTTTAAGCAGTGGACACACTAATGCTAGAGAATTTCGATTAGCCTAGTGCTTAGTCGAAATAGCGATTGACAGATACATTACCAAAGACAAACTAATTAAAAATAAATCCTGATACTGATTCAGATTAATAACCAGTCACGATCAAGGCTGTCAGGAGATATAGTTATATCTATCATTCATGAAGAAGAATTTGAATAAGTTCACTTCATATTAAAGCCTGCACTGAGGTGATGTTGTCTAGGAGGATAACGAAAGTTTATCAATTAAATCAACCGGCTTAAAGAGCACAACCACATCGAAATACTAGACGTTTAAAACAGATGAGTGATATTCATTGGCTATCTGTCAGTCAGTTCATTTCTAGACTGGATGTTCTACACACAAATGAATAACCAATATTTTTTAATATTCAAAAATGTAATTGGTTGGAGGATTTCATCATGACCTAACATCGGTAAGGCAACCATTACAAAACCATCTGGAAGTACTGGAAAGCTATTTCTCCAACCGCCAGGGTTCAAACCCAAAACCTACTGGCTACAAGTCTAGTCACTGTGACCCGATTGAATGGCTAGCCCATGAATTCCAGCTTCTGTCAATCCATGACACAGCGCCAGTACGCTGAAGAGTGCAAAACTAGGTTGACAAAACAACTATCCAGGTTTTTTTTTATAGTTTTCTAACTGATGTCGGCTCATGATGAAATTCTCCTGACCAATCGAACAAAATCCCTACAAACCAATACTTGAGAAATGTAATTGTTCCATAGATAAGAGAATTACGTAAGGAGGAAATCGAAGCCTATAGGCAACCGTGGAGTCAGACGAAAAAAGACAGCAAGACGGTAGAGTGAAACAGCCAAGTTTTGCTCAAGCCCTATGTTCCCCATTCGAAACACAAGGGAATAATAATATTAATCATTATAATAACAATAAGAGAATTACTGCTTACCTCTAACATTTGAGAGTACATATTTCCACTGATTTGTGATAATGCTATAGTTGGATTAAATAAACCCATTGGACCAATTAGCTGTTGAATTTTCCGTGTATGACGTTCTTTTTCACTGTCAGCAAATTTCACAACTATACTTGATGAAGCACCCTATTTGATAGTGTTGTTATTGACAACATCACAAAACAGAATTTTGAAATGAAAAAGTGAACACAGATTAATGTTTAGCATACTGATGAAAAAGTTCACAGCATAGTTAAATGACACAATGGCTTGTTTAAAACCTGGGCTACCGAAATACTCTACCATCTATAATAGTGTGTATAATTTCTTCTGTTCACTTTGTTTCGATCTATTAAAATATGTCCTCTGACAGTATTGTTTCCTCTTGTGAGTATTAGATGGTCGGAGACAATCGGCAGGAAGCCTTGCCTGACCTAGATTTCATGCTAGTCGGCACTCATCGGTCAGTAGGGCCTATCTGCAGCCTCAAAAAGACTCATGTCCCTGTTCTGAGTTTCAAACCCTCGTCACCCAGTGCTACAGTTAGTCTGCACCAAACATAGGATTAGACATATTACGCTAATTACTGACTAGTTTCCACTCAAAGGAATCCGATACAGTCCTACAGGAGGTCGATCGTGAGCCCGAATACCTTAGTGGTAAAGTCTATGACTTCAACACCCAGTGACACGGGTTCGAATCTCAGAAGGGACATGAGTTCCTTCAAGGCAATTGCAGATATGCCTTGGTGACTGGTGACTGCCAACAAGTATGAAAATTAGGTAGAAGGCTTCCTGCGGATTGCCTCCAACCATCTAATATCAACCGTGATGGCATGCCACCTAGCAAACTTGACTGATAGAATTCAGTCTGCACTAAAGATAGGACTAGACACATTAAACCAGTAACTGACTAGCGTCCAATCAAAAATACTCTTGTGAGTATTCAACATGTCTGCAAGTTTCTACTAAACTTGAGAAAAAAGAAAATCGTGGGCGTCAACGGATTCCAATATGTCAGATAACTGTCCCTGAGGTTTTCGATGAAAACTTCCACTGCCTAGGAAATAAAACAGATTACCTGCAATCTTCATTTGTACAGGTAGTATTATGTCACTGAATCGGAAAATGTATTTCTGCAGCTATCTTAATTAGCTTTCAACAAAATGTCATGGATTTCTCGAAAGAATCAAAGAAGAAATATCCATAAGGGATTGATTTCCACTGCAGATCAGATAGAAAGGTGTTATGCGCCTTACTGTCAGTCATTATTTTAATTGATGATGCTTGACAAATATAATCTATTGTGCAATAGTTCCCAATGAAAATGTGTAGCGAAATGGTTGTTCCAAAAATCTGTTCTGAACGATCTAATTACCACAACTGTACTTTTTTTGATGTTTAAACTAGCCTTGTGATTACGATCCTTTTTTCACCCAGATTATACATCATAAGTCTGACATTTGCATATCATATGTTGAATTGATCCTTACTATTTGTCATGGTCCTGTTTAATGTCTTTTTTCAATGCTCCGCTTCATGATTGTGCGAAACATTGATATTGTGTTGTTTTACAATGTGACTTGGAGTAAATCAAGGTCATTCTGACCGTGGACTGAGTTGTGAGAAGCGTTGAACTGCGACTCTAGTGAATAGAGTTTTGAAACCATCTTGGTGAGAGTATTCTACGTTATTCTAAGGTGCCTCCTATAGTTGTAATAGGACATTCCCTCGACCTTATAGCCACCTAACAACACTTCTAAGGTGATTTTCAGTTTTTTTTGTACTTTTTTTGTTGAATGGATCAGATTTATTGACGAATAATCGTTGTTTTGCTCTCTTTGGAGAGTCTTGTTACTGAGCGTCTCGCAAGGAAGTTCCAGACAGCCATGCAGTAGGACGCAGAGATCGGTTCCCTGTGTTCAGACCCCAACCAGACCGTTTTGGTCATTACACACTGTTCAGGATAAGGCTATGATTGCTGTGATGCAGACGCGCCAACTACCTGGAAATGAGCTTGAAAGCGAATTTAGGCCCCTAACTAAGCCGAAAACTTAATCTTCACCTGAACTAGCCGGAACTTAACTTAGTCCTAGCCTAACCTTAACTCTGTTCTTTCCTTGAGGTAACCAGATATGTTGTTTAGTATTCTTATCTAACTGATCTCACAGTCTTGCTCTGTCTGAGTGTTCTAAGGTCACTTGTGAGCCCACACCTTCTAGGTATTTATTCTTTGACTGTTGCAAGTTTATTTTAAGGTGATTATAATAACGTTAGTGGATCTGTTGAGCTGAGTAGTATTCACATGAACTTTTTGCCAAAGTTATTCAAGTTTTGAAACATGAATGGATAATCCTTGTGATGAGACGAAGGAAAAAGTGACGCGCTTCAAGCTCGTCAGAAGAAAATTCCAATTGACATTAGCGGCTAGCGAAAGACTGTCTGGTTTGACTCCTATCGGTTGATTTTTACCACCAAAAACCTCAATTTGAATCGTAAACCTATGTGTCTAATCATTTTAAACACTGTGTTATATACTTTTTTCTGAACGTTTCGCTGTGTAAGCCACAGCTTCTTCAGTAGATTTATGTCTTATATCATATAAATCTGCCAAAGAAGCTGTAGCTTACACAGCGAAACGCTCAGAAAAATCTTGTTTTGATTTTCTTAACACGCTGGGATTAATTTAAATAATTTATAATCAATCAATCCGACTTGGGGCTCAAATTATTCCAGGAAGTTCGTAGCACCTACTGTCTGGAAACCTATAATTGTGTTATACAATATTAACTACTTATTTGCAACAATAGTAGTTTGTGTTTTATATATGAAATCTGAATTTCGTGCAAGTTTATTATTTATAGTGAAACGTCACCACTACATTATAGTGATCAGTTGATTGAAAAGTTGAAGTGGAAGTGTTATCTGGTGTATTCCTTCCTCAGTGTGTAACATTATATATCACGTTAAAACATTCACTTTTTGATTTCCGAGTAGGACACAGTGCTTCTGAGGTAAACCTCTTTTCCATTCACTTCTCTGTCGTCACTTTCAGCGGACTTCGGACTGCCCACAGGCTTTTATTTCCTCTTCTCATGATCCCGTCAACGTTTCACTAAAACAGATGCCTAACGCACAGATTGATATTTGCTTTCCACTGGAGAGCCTGAATGGCATATGTCAGCGTTCTCTCTAACAAGTGTCTGACACATCTCCATTTCCCTCTTCATAATTGTTGAGCGACAGGTACTTTGCTTTGGTTCATTGCCAGACTTTGTTTCCTTTCGTCTAATCCAGCTAGTTATTTCATTTCCAGGGGTCAAAGTAGCAAAGGCAGGTGTTAACGAAAGTTAACAAACTGTTGGAGATGCTCTCAGTGACTCACGTGATAAGTCTCTGAAACGCCAACTTAATATCAGTGTCAAAAATTAGTCTTCCCTATGCTGAGTACCGTAAATGTCCACGATTTCCTTCCCAATCGATGCCACTCGTATGTATCTGAAATGATGATGACCGGGTAAGTGAGAGAGATTACTTCATTTGATGGTGATCGGTGTTTACTTGTTGTTGGTTGGATATCTTTAACATCTCTGTCTTCTCTACGTTCACCGATCTGAGTGTGCCTTTATTTACCTTACTGTCTGTTGTCTGTGGAATTCAGATTTTTCACTGATTGTTTCAGTTATGAGTGTGATAATAAAATTGGGATTTCAAATTACAGCTGCATTATTTCAAAGCATAAAATGATTATATGCCATTTTAGTAAGCATACTTGAGTACACAAATACGTATACCTACCGGCATTGTTTGACTTCCATGCAAAGTTAGAATAGCTGATTGGGCTTCTTGTTGTGTAGAGAATTTTACAAATGCACAACCTATATTCAAAATAGAAAAGGCGTTTGGTGGAAGAATGGGAAAAAAAATTTGAGTAGCATACTGTTAAATTTAAATTTTGATTCATTTTCCTGAAGAAGTTCGGATCAGTCTGCCGAAAGAAACGTTGGAATTACTCACTTCATTTTCACTGAGATTCTACAAATTTTAATTTTTACATTTCTCTACTCCTCATTCAATGCCCAATTATTTTAGAACTGGATTTCATCATGAGCTGACATCGGTTAGAGAATCATTGGAAAATCTGGGAACCAATCCAATGGCTTAATTTTTCACTAGCGTTGTAGCTGGAATGTCCGGGATTCGAGTCCCGGTGGATGTTAAGTTATGAAAAGTCCCAAACTAAGACAGTGGGAATAGCATTCCAGTACTCCTAGGTCTTCGAATAGTTCTCTAACCAGTGTCAGTTCATGATGAAATCCTGTGATGCTAAGAGCCATCGGCTAAAAAATTGTTTTCGATGGTGTAGATGTATTCACTATTTGTAATCTGCCACGTCCTCTAAAACGTCATGTTTTTCCATGTTGCTATTCTTTCTTGCGTATGTTTATGCACATTATAATTCTGCTGAATCTCTTGTTCTCTCTTTCCTTTGCCTATATATAGTTTACAGAATTCGACAAGTTGAATTTCTTCACTTCTGTGCGAAGCTCTTTGTCGATATTCAGTCACTCAGTTGAATCGCTATGACGTATATTGGACAATATCTAACGTCACCAATGACCATCTCTCTTTGTGCTGCTTTTTCTGCTGACCAATGACGATCACCGCATCGGTAGTTCAGTAATAGAACGCTAGCCAACCATGCACGTGGTACGAGGATCAATCCTTGACTGATTCACTGCTAAACATCACTAAGTCGGTAGTGAGGCCCGGTACAGAGGAAGGTTAGAAGTGAGTCTGGCAATCTCACTATGTAAAACTAAAAAGCCCACTGCTACTGCAACCTCACAGCTCAAACTTGTAGCCCTTTGTGTTGTTCGACTCGGAACACAAAAAGGAATAAAATAATCACGATGACACTTCATTGCCCAGTTTTAAGTACCTCTTTAATTAATATTAATTAATTTTCACATATAAAAAACAATATCAATCAGCTAACCTTTACTGTTCCCACTTTGATCTCTGAGTATTGTACATTCTTCGATTGTACCAAATGGTTCAAACAGTTGTCTTACATCCTCTTCATTTTGTTGTTTGCTTAACATACCAACAAACAGTTTACGTTCTTCTAAAACAAAAATAAATATGAAAGACATTAAAGTTATTTCAAAAAAAAGCATTAGTTGTAACAAGAGATCACTGTAAAAGAAATATTTATGTTACATGAAGTAAGTGTCGTCTGTCAAGTTGGCATACCTTTTACTTTCTTCTTTTCCCCTTTTAATCTTGTATGACTTACCTCATTCTCTTTGTAACGAATTTTTGTTAAGTGTGCTGGTGACCTATGAGTCTCCGTAGCTGTTACTTTTCCGCTAGACTGTTGTACAAATGAATAGCATTCTGCCCCAAATTATACATCGACTGATATCAAATGTTTTTCAGCTGACTGAATTCTTTCAGATGTTAGATTGTTAATTGCGGCTTTTAAAAGACGCAAATGAGGGTTACTTTCACGTTACTCTTGTACTGTAAATGTTTTCTTCGATTCCTTTACCTTCCCAGTGGAACATATGGTTTCAATCTGGAGTATTGAAGTTTCGGTAGTAGCGGTGTTTATTTTAACGCAATGAGGTTGTAAGGCACATGCCCAACCTTTCCTCTTTATCAGTCTTATTAGTGCCTTAGTGAAGTGAAGGAGTGCATCGACCGGGAATCGAATCCCGGCTCACTTGCGTGGTTGGCGAGTGTTTTACTGCAGTTTCACCGACTTACCCTAAGGAGATACCGGGGAGGGTAGTGAAGCAGAAATTAAGTATGACAATAATAGAAACGTGCATCAGTTCACATCGTTTTATTTCGAAACGCTACATGAAAAAGAGGTAAACGTAAAATGTTGTTATGCTATCACATCTTAATAAGAAGCAGTATGTCACGAAAGACAGAGAGAGAGAGGGTATAACAATAAATACTAGAGCAAAAGTTGAAGTTTTCAAAGATAGGAGCGAATACATGTAAGCAACTATTATCTCTTGTCTGTCACAGCATCAAGTGTCTTCAGTCTTCAGTAGTCAACATACCAGAAACCATTACCAAGCGGCTTAAATGTTATTCATTAGCTCAAAAGACTGACTACAAGCTTCACGAGTTGATACTGTATCTTAGTGACAAAGACAGCCTCTAACTTATGGCATGTCAATTCTCGCCTAATGGAATCATATGTCGTCCTTATTTAATGCTCCACTTCGATAGACTAGGCAGGCCCTACTTGAAGGCTGGTTTGAAAAAACAGTTTAGACGGTTAACTATTTGTCCAGATGAATTTAGCGGCCCCAACCCACGGCATAATTTTAATTACTCCATATTTACTCAAGTCAATAATCTGAGTAAGTCTTCTCCCTGTGTATCTATGTTTTCGCTATACACATCGAATGAAATTAGTGTTCCCAAGTATTTAAAAAGACTTCTATACATGAATGAATTCGTAGAATTCTAGGAAAACTGTTCTTCAAAATCAATAGCATTTACAAATTTCGAAATATATTTTGTGGGAGTAATTGTGCTACTAACTACAATTTAAGTAGACAAATTGTATACACGAAAATTAGTCAATTTTGAATATGCATGTAATTGATATGCAAATCGAAGTGGAAACTAAAATTTTATATGGATAGTCATAGAGTTACTGTGTAAGAGATAATTAGACTGTAAGAATACTGATATGGCAAGAAATTTAGTCAATTCTATTGAAAAAACAAGCCGCCAAATCCAACTCAAGAAGTAATTCTAAAAAACAGCGTTAACCAAGTGAGACAAATGCTGATCTGTGATTTTGCGTATTTCAGAACGTACCAGAGATGACAGGGAACAAAAAGTATTAACAAAAATATGATGGGGAGAATTTTATCAAAGGATGTTTAAGACTGACTATCATTTCTTCCTATAAAAACTCAGAATCTGAGGCCGAATTGCCCAGGCTTTAAAAATTTTTATTTATTTTGCTTATCATTGAATGTAGAGCGATCATTAATAACAATAGGGTGACTAATGTTCAGTAAATAACATGTGACTGAAATTCTTTGAAAATATTTTTGACAGTCATTCTAAAATATGTTTAACAGTATAGTCCTCAGGCATCTTTTCATGCAAGTAATGAATGTTAAGAAAGCAATAATTAGTGAATTCACTAAATTTCAGTAGAACTCTTCACCTAAATGCTCGACATGCAGTGATATACTATCAGAAATAAATGACGAGATATTTGACTGATGTGCCAAATGCATTAGCTTCCTTAAACACGTCCAAACAGAAATAATCAGTTTAATGTGGCAGGGATGTAGATAGATGGGTAGATGTGTATATCGATGGAAAGATACAGAAATTTGTTCAGAACTGCAGCAGTTCAAGTGTGCACACTCAATTTATCACATACACGTAGAGAAAACAGAGAAACAGAATAAGTAGAAGTGTGCGGGAGAAAGAATAGTAACCAGGGGAAACGTAAGGGTTTGACGGATCTATAAGATCACAAATAGCTAACATGACTGCACCACCAAAAACAGTTTCGAATCGTATCAACCGCAGTCTCTAGAAACCAGTACATAGCATCCTGAGGACCGCAACCAAGTAGTCAACAACTCCTTATGTGACCATATATACATATACACCACTCGTTATATCTTTTGGTCTAGCAAAATGTCAGCTACGACCCTAGTAGATTCTTGGTACAGTATCTGACTGCATCACTTGTTGATATGCATTTGAATTTCAGTGGAAACAACAGTTTTTCTGAGACGTTGGTCACGCCTTGCTAACAAATAGCCAATAGTCACAAAACGTAGGTCTATGGCTTCTTATTGATTGCATTCTACCATCTGAAATCAAATCGAAGTACAGTGATTCATCTAGCTTGATGATTACATTCAAGCGCATAACTGATGGAATGCAATCAGCAATAAAAGTCATACCCTAGTGACCAGTCATCGTATACGATCACATACTATGTTTCATGGATAACTTGAAACTATCTGAACTGACCAAACAGTGAATTTATAAGGTAAACTTCGTCACTAGCCAACACCATTTACAGATCTTTCAGAATCAGTAAGCAATAGATAATTATTTCGTCCTACTTTGTGACTAGGATAGAGAGTGCTTTTACCCACAATTCCACAATGGTTAGAAACTGAAACCTTAGAATTACGAAGCCAAGCCCACTGACCATTCAGCCTCTTGGGCCTCCATTCAATGATCTGTGGATTCTAACTTCGTCAGATCGGGACAAAGGGCTACCTTCAACCAGTGCCTTCGAGGAAAATCCATTCATTTTAACCTGGTCTACTCCACTGGTAGTCACTCCTGAGTACAGCTTAAGAATATCCTTCAAGGAATCATTAATGAGCTGGAGATTGGTATTTAGATTATGAATTTTTCTAGAGATTTGGATGAGAAGTTAGTTGTCGATTAGCATAACACATCCTTCCAAGCTCTATGACTGACTTGAAATTGATCTGGCTAGCTTTACTGGCCAGTTCATACTCATGGGAAAAATTTATTTGAAAAACTTGAGTTTTGAGTAACTGTTTCATTGGTAAATATTGGACTGCATGCATTCGACTGACTTCAAGACACGTTTCATCCAGGACTTATATCGCAGAGGATTCTGATTTCTGCCAAGTAGTAATCTACGGCCACCGCTATCCCCAGTCCTACTTTATGCATCTAAAACCTGTCTATGATTTCCAATAGTCAGTTGGGAATCAGCCAGGGTTTGATTTCTGAGAGTTGCGTTTACGCTCATCTCAACCCTCTGGCCGAATATATGGCCAACAGGCTGACGTTGTAACCTATCCACTCTATAGCCCATTTATGGGAGTCACCAGTAGGCATTACCGAAGAGTCCTGAGCTAGAGCGAGACATCCATTTAGTGGCTTCTGGCGTATGACGCTTTTCTAACTGATACTTTGAGTTAATTAAAGTCAGAATGACGAAGTGATTCGTTTTCAAAATATAACAGTCAAGATTAGAATTTCCTTAGGAATACTTTAATAGGAAATAATCCTCGCTGGCTATGTATGCTGAAGGGTCTTTATGTTCATATTACAACTCAGCATTTATTAATAAGTGATAGAGGAAACACAGAACAACAACAAGACATGACAAAAATTAATGAATACAGACCACCACTTGATGTTGTCCCATCTATCGATTTGTTAATAAACTTGTTTTTCGAGTTCGACTACGGATTGATATCAGTTAGAGAACCATTGAAAACCAGCCATAGGGAGTACTGGACACCTGTTTCATACTAGTTTGGGAAACACCGGCAGTAGGTACCCAACATAGGAAGTTCGAACCCAGGACCTTTCGGTTACAATACAAGCTCATATACCAATCAGCCACTGGGACCCGATTCAATGGCCCATGAATTCCCACCGTTAACACTGGTTGGTGGTCGCGCCAAAATCACGAATTGGTATAAGTTAGAATTCATTGGCTAGCCACTGAATCGAGTCTCATTGGCTGAATGGTATACGAGCATGTTTTCAATCGGAACGTTCTGAGTTCAAACTTCCTATGGTGGGTGCGTACTGCCAGTGTATCCCAAACTAGGATGAAACAGCTGTATGCTCAGCACTCCCAGATGGTTTTTAATGGTTCTCTAACTGATATCAATTCGTGGTAAAACTCGAAAAACAAATCCAATCCTTGCAAATCAACTCTTGAAATGAAACTTGTTGATAGACCTGACTTGAATCGATAAGAAAAAAAATGATAACTATACATTTTTATCTTCATAGTCATTATACTTGTTTTGTCAGCATAGCATATTTTTGAGGAAACACTCATTCTCTGTCAAACAAAGAGAATAATTTTTGGAAAATTGAAGGGAAATAGAAAAACAGATGGTTAATAAATATGCATGTTAAATTCCTTTCCCTCATAACTCAACCGGTGTAGTGATTAAATGCCTTTATGACTCATAGTGTCATCCACATCCTTCCCATATTTGGTGACCTTATATCCTAAGGTCAGGATAATTTTGTCCATATAAAACAGAGAAAGGATATTATCATCATTATTATCACCGTTAGACTACTTACTACTACTACTACTGTAGCCAATGAGTA